AACAATAGTTAAGGCAACAATAGTTAAGGCAACAATAGTTAAGGCAACAATAGTTAAGGCAACAATAGTTAAGGCAAGACCTCATGGCCAGGACTTAGGCAAAGGTCATCGACCGTCGCCGTAACACATTACTAGTCCACGGGTGTTTGTCGAAGTTTCCTGATGCACCTGATCTATACCTCACGAGTAGAAGAGTTATGTTCCATCCCGTGCATGGGATCCAGGTAAATAAATACCGATCCACTCTTGACATATGGCGAGTGCGCAACAAGACTAGTCCGCGCATTGCATATGACTCAAATCGTCGGCTGGCTAAAGAAAAGTTGGCTAACCGGGTTTCTCAGAATATGAGCGCTTAGCTAAAGGCAAATGTTCTTCCTACTATCTATATAGTGTGGGAATTCCGATTCCATGTCTCTGTCTATCATGTAGTCAGTGTGAGAATCTACATAGGGGCGATTACCACTGACCACTAGCTGCCAAATCTGGCCCACGTCCACATGCTTCGGTCTCCTGCATAGTAAAGTATTTTCTGACTCCCCTGATATTGCCAGTATGAATCATTGCTTAGATCAATGGAATTTCCCACTGTCCTTCCCGCTCCCTACTTGTCCTTTCGGAACTTCTTCCTCAGAGGAGCAGATGAGTCCCCCTCATGTTTTTCAAAGAACGCGGAGTGCGCTGCGAAGTAATGCGAAAAACCATGCGTCCACTGTTTCTTTTGTGTGGTTTGAAACGCTCCCCTGGGAGTCATTCTTGTGAGAATTAGATGGGTGACACAGGTCCTTGTGAACCTTGGCTGACGGACGCCAAATAAGCTGCAGACCGCCTGTTTAACAATTTCCACTGTAAAAATTTGCACTCTGCAAGAGTACAAGCTGAATTAACACAAGATGGTGTACAGACTGAAACCAAAGTCGGAGAATCAGATGGTTTGACGTCGTCAATCAAGCAATGTAGGTTGCCGCTCGTTGAGTGTTTGCCACAATTGATCAAATGAGCGAGGGGGATCAAGGTTCAGGACAATTCCACTGTTACTTCTTAACATACTAGTCTCAGGCTCTAGCGACTCACTCTCAGGCTCTCATCCTTCAGGTCGAGGGTAACTTTTCTCTGTCACGTCTCCATGTGCCGTGCGGGACTGGGAGCTGCGCGATGACATAAGGGCTAATAACCTATAAGGAGGATATGAAGGAGTAAAATGAAGTTATTCATTTTCTCTATATACCAGGTGAAAAAATACTAATGCTAAGAAAAGAAGAACACGGTGTGCGGGCCGAACATGTGGCCTGACCTGTTGTAAGTAAGGAAGGCAAAAATGCCTGACAAACAAACATGAACACCAACGTTCAGTTACGAAGTCAAACCCTGTCGATGATTTATGTAGCCCACAAGAAAACCGCCTTGCTCAGCAAAGTCCCGACTTGCTCGGCTCGCACGCGCCATTGGACTTGTCGCAGCCATTGTAGCCCTGGCACTGGGTCTTGGGGAAGCAGTTGTTCGAGTATGTAGCCTGTACGTCCCAACATGTCAGTCCAATCGGCTCAAAACAATCAAGATTCAAGCTTGAGCAATTTTCCACATACCCTGTCACCATAGTTGAGGTTGATACCCATCAGCTCACCGCCATTGACAGCAGTGGTTCCCTCCATGTGCACGGAGCGCCTGCAGTTGTTCGAGCAGTTGCCGCACGAGCGGTAGACCTTGCCGTAGTCGTTGGCGTAGAAGTTGATAATGTTGACGTGACCGCAGCCGTTGTGCTGGATGATCTTGTCCGCAGCCTTGAAGGCACCGCCGCCAATGATGTTGGCAGTGCCGCCACCCTTGATGCTGATGGCATCCTCGCAAACATCCTCGAACCAGACAAATTCGAGGTTGCACGAGCCCTTGCAGTAGACGCCCTCCTTCTGGTTTTTACCAATGATGACGTTCCGAAGGGTGGCGCCATCCTCGAGAACAAAGACAGTGTCCGCCTCGCCTAATCGTGTCAGTCTGGTGTGGGGCCATTGGTCACAGTACATTTCAGGTTCACCCACCTCCCTCGCTCTGGCCAGTGCAACTCTGGCCACGGTCATACTTTACCCAACCAGCATCAAACACTTCACCTCTCTGGAGGTAGCGGGGTGCGTTCAAGGTCCTGCTGTCGGTGGGCTGGGGGAGACCGCCGGTGTAGCCCAGGCAAGCCATGGCAGCCGGCACGGCGGAAAGTAGGGAGAGGATGCTGTTGGCCTTCATTCTGAATTGATTGATCGGGTGCGAGAATGTTGAGAAAACTTGAACAGAATTGTTGACTTGATCGAGAGATGCACTTTTTCGGCGCGGGGCTGCCCTCAACTTATATGCAGGAAGTCCTGGTACGTAGTCCCATAGAGCTGGAGTTAGTGTTTCATGCATGACCGCCAAGAATCCGGGGATGGCATCTACTCGCGACGTGGTTCGAAACTGCCGACGGTCAGTCTAACCCAATTGAGGGGGGAGCTCCCTCTTCCGGTCTTGGAACCCTCATTTGGGTCGGCGGAAAAAACGCCACCTAGTTTCGGATGCTTGGTCGTTATCCAATGTTCCATCGCGCGGCGATTACCCGTCGCGAGGCCAGGACACGATTGGCGCGCCACTAATATGTGATGGCCAGAGGTTGTGACGACAACTGCTTGGCTCTTGTTCTAGGCTCTCGGCATGGTGGGAGACAACCCGACCTTGAAACGTGGCACTCTTAATTTGATAGGGGCGCATGGCTTTCAGGTTTCCACAAATGACCACCATGCTGTGCTTTGCAGAGGATGGCAAGCGTCGAGCGATGTAACCATAGCAGTAGATGAAAACACCTTGTTCGCAGAGACGCAGAAGTCGCTTGGTGGATTAAATGTACAGAGCATGTGACGCAAGCTTGGTCTCTGTGCTGACGTGACATGGCCCTTGGTCAGATGCTTGCGCGATGCCCTCCTTTGGGTGTGGTAGTACCCCCATGGCTAGCAGAGATTGCTCGAACGAGAGAGGCAGCAGGGCCTGTCTACCGTGCGAGCTGCTCTGTACACCATCTTAACCCGCAGTACCCCTCGGGAGAGAAGCACCGAGCGGCAAGGAAAGCCGCGGATGGAGATGCCTCCGCGTGGGAAAGAACAATGGCACCCCGCCGGGATCAACATCATCATCATGACCTAGTGAGGCCAGCACCAGAGTACTATGCTTTCCCGACACGTATATAGCGATTTCACATGACTGTCTGGGTCTTGTCGAAGCAGAGCTTGTGTGACGGTTTGTCCGGCTGTGCTACGTACACAAACCCGATCCACTGCTTAATATCTACCCAATTCACCATTATAGGTTTCGGAGAGTGTTACTGTCAAGCATGTCACATCCGTTATCGAGCATACCCGGTGGAGTCAAGCATAACAGACGCTGCAGTGTACGGAGTAGAGGCTCCGAGTCCCTGCCCCGTAGCTGAATTTGGCTGCGTTCGTGGGCCACGAATACTTTATTGTCTTTGTCTGAATATTTCAGACGCCGCGAAAAGATGAAGCTGACCGAACAACGTCCTCATGCCCATAGGTTGGCGATGGCCTCAAATTTGAAAGCGAGCCGCCATGGCCGTTGGTCAAGGCGAAAGCTACGAGGCAGTGGTCAGTGGATATGGCTAAACAGGGGCTGCAGCTCACGAGTCACGCCACACTTGGCCCCACTGGATATGCTTAATGCTTAATTGACAATAAATTGACACTTAATTGACAATGAGAGATGTGGGCCGTGGCATGAATGTGATTGATAACATCTCCCTTGGTTTCAAATTGAAACTTTGAAACTCTCAGTCATGTTCGTCTGGCCCCTGAGACGGTGAGACCGACTCGAGATGCAGGTATTTGACGTACCAACACGTGACTTTGGTCGCATGTGCGGGGACCTAGTGTCAGACCGTCAGACCGTCAGATCGTAAAAAGGGGCCACAGCACGAGCTCCACGAGCTCCACTAGCTCCACGACAAACTTCACACGTCCACAACCGCCCCGCGCGTTTCTTGCGCGCTTAGGCCCGGCCCTCTTTTACGTCATGTGCGATTGTCACCGAGCTACAAGATAAGCAAACGTCGTTTGCGATTGATCGTGATGCGGTCCCCGAACGGCTGTGCGCCGTTTCTATCAATGTTTCAGAAACGTCTACTGCGCCTCCTCTTCCTCGTCGTTTCTACCGTTGTGACAGTTGCCTTGTGCGTTGTTTCTTTTATTCGACCACCATACGAAACTAGGGCCTATGTGTTTAAACAGGGACCAATCACATAGTAACAAGTTGCTGACCACCGTTGTGGAGAAACTCGTCAACACAGCGCCTTGCGAGGTGCTCATCATGGGTCGAGATGCGTAGGCACCTGGCGGATGGGTCCGCGACGATACGGAGAGGCTGTACGGCGAGCATGACGATGTCGAGTCCAACATAGCCGGCCTCAAACAGGGTGACCCGCTGCCCGAGCATGACGACATGGACGCACACGACCGCCCAGAATGGGCATTCGACTACTCATGTACGTATCTGCTGCACGCATTCTCTCTCTCGAAGCCGAGAGATGGCGTGAAGCACAACAGGATCACGCCAAAGTACGTCCTAGAGAAGAGAAGCAATTTTGGGAGGGCTGTGTACCCCATAGCCAAAGAATTGTACGACAAGGGTATAATAACGATAGATGAGACTTTGTAGACATACTTGATTTGGAAGCACCCTGGTATTTCGTGGTTTTCGTCGTTTGTCGGCAGCAGGACTACCGAAGTAGCGAAGGCGCGCGGAGTAGCTGTGTAGCCTGTAGGGAGTGAATGTCACTTTTGGCTTATTTAATAGGATACTTATGTACGAACCCGCGTTCTTCCACTGCCCACGCAGTCACTGATTTTAAATTTACTCTTCTCTTTCTTTGCGGCGTTCCGCACAATTTACCCCAACCACGCGACCTTTACAACGCCACAAGGCTTGCAAATCTTCTTCAACAGCAACACGGTTGCAAAAGATCTGATATCTTTTGAACAGAAACATTCAACCTCCCATTTCGAGAACTTTCTCTTCCGGCACAACGTGCAACGGGTTGCCAGTGTCAACAATCACACGCAGGATCGCAGATCAATATTACCTTTGCCTCACCATCTACCACCACAACAGCCCACAGTCACAGCCTCAATAACAGCCAAAAAAAAATTTTTTAATAAGAAATTAGGCGACTTGTGTACACTGGTGAGGAAGCGAACCTTTGCAAACAAGCATGCCGAAGCAGAGGGACTCGGGGAAACGGCGGTGGACGAAACGAAATTCGTCTATTGGATGGTCGGCCATTTCAGCAGACAAGTCTAGACACTCAAGATTGGAATGCCAGATGCTCGTCGCGAACATAGAAGTTCGGCTTAGTCGAACCAAGAGCCGGGAGTCCTTCGACCTCGTGACACATATCAACCTTGATTGCTGCATGATCACCATCGATACTTCCGCGACGAGCCGCATTCAGAGAACAGTGGATTTCTCTTTCGGCCTTTTTGATAAAAAAGGCTCTACTCCACAGAGCACAGCTCGCCAAAATGAAACCCAGTTCAGGACTCTGGAACCTCAGTTTACACTAGGATGGAGTCCCAATATGAGGCTGGAACCCCGGTGAAGAGGCAAAATCAGAAGGCAGTGGGAGCGGAGAAGTTGATAGGTTCCCTTCCGACCTGATGAGGCATCATGAATCACGAGAGTCGGCAGCGTTCAATACCGGAAGGAAATCGACACAAACGAACGACCGTCAACGCGGCGACTCCTCCCACCAGACATCTCCACCTAGCACGGCTCTAAAGGGAAATGGCTTGCAAATGCCGACGTCTCAATTGCATCAAACGCCTGCTCCTCAGTCAGCCCTAGCGGGAATTCCCACAAAGACATCCACAAGGTCTCTAGCAAAGTTCGGCACGAAATCTTCCGTCAAAACCCCGACCAAGACTCAGAGGGATGTTGCCATCCCTCGCGTCCTCGAGTCTTGTGACGAAAGAACCACCTGGAGGGTCGCTATTTGACCAGGGAGGTGCACCTCATCAGTGGATGAGGAACCGCACGAGTCTGATACGGAAGATCAACGACGTGGAGCTTCCCGATCTTACCGCCGGAATCCGCACATGCCCAGGGTTTAATAAACCTAGCTCCTTATTCTGGTCCACTATCAATGGGAACGAGCAAGGGGAGCTGGACATCGTCAAGTCCGCCACCGCACTTGTCATAGTTATTGGCAGGTTGGTGTACGATAGGAACAAGCGTGAGAAACTGCGAAGTCAGATGGAAAATCCGGGCAAAGACCTTGCATTCTCTCAACAGGCAATGGAAGAACCTGTGAAGTGGGAGGAGGCCCTGCAGGCACGTATTCGAAGATTGGAAAAACACAGCACAAAGGTCGAGAAGGACAAAGACTCTCGGCGAAAGATGCTTTAGCAGTACAGAAAGCAATATGGCGACGTGGTTCATAATATGCCATCCGCATCGTCTGGAAGGATACCCTCCGCCATGGGGAATTTCGCAGCAGATGAAACCTCCAATGCCGAGGCACACACGGAAGACTCAGACCCCGACGATATGGCCGGCATAGAGCTCATTATTTATCACACGAGTGAAGATGAGGATCCATCTGCCACTCAGCCGGGGATTTCCTCAATCGACAAAGAGAAGCCCGCGAAATCAAGAGCGACCACCCACTCTACATCTCAGGCTGGCATGAAACGCGCTCCCCGACCTGCTGGCGGAGTGGAAGGCAGGCTCTCTTTTCATCCACTGAAAGCACCGAAAGGACACGTAGATCCCGTCACTAGGAAAGTGACAGGGATCTACACCACTATTTAAGATGACGAGAAAAAAATGCAATGCCTTGGGCAAGAGGGGAAACTACGCTTCGCATGGAGAGAAGATACTTTGAGGAGAATAATGGATTGACTTCGGAGAAGGATACTACCGTACTTCAAGTACGTGGGCCCGGGGTGGTCGATTTGTTCGTGAGTAACGCATTTACTAGACATAATTGAGCTTTCCACTACTAAACCGGGACGTGTTAAGCAGGGGCTTTCGAGATAATGAGATACTAATCCCTTCCTCCACGGGATTCAGAATAGGATTCGTTGATTTAAATAGACTCATGGCTCACGGCGTGAGTTCACTTCGACATACTATAATCCATGTGTAAGTTTGGACCCAATACACAGGTAAAATTGAGTCAACGCACTATATGCCGACATTATGACTCGTGAAAAATCTAGTTCACGATCTTAGGAAGCTCGAATTTCTCGGCTTGATATATAGGGCAAATTTAAGTCAATGCACTATATGCTGATAACGTGACCCATAAGTTATCTGGTTCTCGGTGTGATGTTTCGGCATCGTATCCAAAAAAGTCTTGGGAACTGTGTCCACAACCAATCTTCTGTGCTGATTCTTGTCCGAATGGTAGTTGAGCGTCCAGCTCGTCTAGGATAGCCCGGGGCATCACTGTGTCTGCGACTCTGCGTCAAACCCTCAAGCCGGTGCACAAGTAGCAGCAGATGTCAACATGTTAGTGAAAAGTGGCTTCCCGATAAATACTCGCCTCCTAGCGGAGAATAGCGTCTGACGCCAACTTGATTGTCGGTCTAGTGTTTTGGGACGGATTTTGTTGAAAAGTTTGAACCATGCCTTTTCCTTATTCCTCTGACCCAATAATCATCTAGGATATGAGTAATTACGTACTTCAGCTTGACATGATGTGACTGCTGCGCATGTCCAACTCCCGCATTGACCCAAACGTACATCCCGGGCCAAGGCGGAAGCACAGCGCGCGCGGCACGCTGCGAAGCAAACAAGTAATACCATGCAAAGGGGCGAATAATTGTCCAGCCCCTCAGCTGAACATCAGCCACACGTGCCATGGCGAGCCGATCAGCTCCAAGGGTTCAGTGACGCGCGCGGATCCGATGTTGCATCGCCAAGGGATCTACATGAACCATGCCGGCAACCCGTTATCCACCTCCCCGAAATGGCTTACATTGCGGCAGTGAGCTGAGCAGGTGCCGAGTCTGAGACGCTTGCCTCTTTGTCTCCAAGATACAAGCGAGAATGAACAGTATATAAGGATGGTCTCTTCCAAAACTTGTTAGGATCGTTTGCTCACCACAGCCTATCTTCAAAAGACAAAATGAAGGCACGCGGCCCCCCCCTTGGCCAGAGATAGCCCCCTCAGCAAACACCCGACACCAGAGCTAACCACCTTCAGGTCCTCGCCGTTCTCGCCGCCACTCTAGGTCTCGCCTCTGCGCAGGCCAAGCTCACCCACTCCCAAGCCGTCTCGCAGCTGTCCGCCTCGGGCATCACCGTCTCCTCCTCGGGTGGCTGCTCGGATCGTAACACACCCACCTGCACGTCTCTGGAGCAGGTCAACGCCGTCACCATTGCCGGCGCAAAGACCCTCAAGGGCGCCTGCGGCTGCACCGTCCGCGTCACGGGGGGCACCGAGGTGGGCCATGCCAGCGGCACGTACTCGCATTACAACGGGTACAAGCTAGACTTTTCAAAGACATCGGGTCTGAACTCATATGTCACCAACACCTTTACGAGGATTGCCGACAGAGGAGATGGCTATCCTCAGTGGCAGGCGGCCTCGGGTAACCTCTACTGTGTAAGTGTCGATGAAGATCGCGTTGTGACAAAAGCTGACGATGAGTAGGACGAGGGCAACCACTGGGATGTGACCTTTTTCACAGATGGGAATTAGCTAGACAAGAAAATAATCGACGCCGAATCTAGCAAACAAATTTGCGTGCGACTACTTCGTCTCGTAAGGATCCTTTGTGAAGATGACTTGCACCGTTACATCGTCCCTCACGTAGCGACTCCTGGGCGCCTGCTGGCTGATCACGCCCTTGAACAGATCCCGTCTATTCCCGCCAAATGCATTCTTGATAAGACAGACAGCTGCATTGTCCATGTCCTCAATAGAGAAGTTTTCCTTTGTCGCCTCCCACGTCCCGTAACCCTCCTTGTCGACGGTGAGACGAACGTTCTTCTCCTCGGCGACGACCGGCGTCTTGCCACTGCGTTTAACTGCAAGCCACTGGGAGACACACTCGACTGCGTCTTCGTTCGACATGTGATCCCACAGCCCATCGGATGCCAGGACGACAAAGTCGCCAGTCTGGACCTTTTGCACAGTCACCTCGGGCTCGGCGGTCATGTAAGGTGGTGTCTTGTAATTCGGGCGAGGGCCCACGTCGAAGAAGTCTGCCTTAAGACGGTGTAAAAAATCAAGAGTGTACTTCCAACGGTGATCGCCAAACGCGCGCGTAATGGCCATGCCAAAGAGCCGACCACTGCGAGGGTTGATCATGTCCTTTTCCTCGCCGGGATGAGCCTCATTCAGCCGCTTCACTTCGTCCTCGTTGAAGCCAGTCTGGTCTTTGCTGAGTGCGACGGCCTCGTGCGTCCCGTCTTGAGACCATTTGCCCAACACGGCTCTCGAATCCCCCGTAACGGCGGTGTAGAGCAGGCCTGAGCGCACGTCGTACGCCGTGACGAGGGCACATGACCCTGAGAGGACCGGCTCCAGTGCCTGCAGAGCAGCAGAAGCGCCAGCAGGAGACTGCTCGACCACTTCCTTGGCTCTCTGCATAATGTGGGCGTCGACATTGCGAAATGTCTCTTTGATCATTTTCTGCTTTTCGAGTGTCGAGCTATCTTTGGGCAAAGCTTCCCACGCGGAGGACACTGCGGAGATTAGACGACCTGCAAGGTACCGAGAGGTTGCCCAACCAGCGTGGCCATCATACACTCCGGCATACACGATGCTTCCGCCGTCATTGTCCGCCGCCTGGCTCGTGTCCCAGTGGTCCTCTACGGGACAATTGCTTGCCACGCGAGCCACGTCGATGCAGCCTTGTACCGACCCGTTCCCAGAAAACAAGAGGTTATGCGCGTCTTGCCGAATTGCCTCATTCGCTGCGTCGAGATCCATGTATTGTGTTTCTGCCACCGGGTGGACTGTGTCGGTGACTCGCATCCCAAGCCGTCCAGAGCTCCGGCGTTCATCAAGAAGCCGGGGAACCGTCCTCTGGATGGAGGTCATTTGCCATGGGTATGGATATTGTTCATCCCAGACAAAGTAGCAGCACGCGACAACGCTGCTCATTGTCAAGGCCACCTTCCATGGGAAACGCGCACCTGGCGGACTGCTTGGGGATGCGCTCGAGAAGATGCGTCTAGCAGTCCGCTCTCGCACGAGCAAGCGTGTGATCGGGGCTACCGACGTTCGTTGCGAGGCAATGCGCAGCACCATGATGGTCGGTGGTGGTTTGGATGGTGAGGGAGACTAAGATCGGTCGTTACACATGCAATTTCGATCTCCTGAGTAGCCGCAACGTCACATGATCCCGCAAACAAGACGAACAAGGACGCACCAAGACAAGCATCATTCATTAGGCGGCTGCACCTCATCTACCTTTACCAATCTCTTCTTCCTCGTCCTCCCACTCGCCACCCTGTTCCATCTTCTCATTGACCTGGTATTCTGCATCACCACCCAAACCCTCACTGTCGAAATCATCCACGTCCATGTCGCTGTAGTCCAACTCCTCTTCATCGTCATCGTCACCCTCCTCGTTGTGCTTCCCGCTCGCCTTCCTCTCTGCCTTTTTGCGCTCGACATTCTCCTTTTGCTCGCGTTTCCGCGTCTCCTTCTCCTGTCTGCGCTTCTCCCACCGCTTCTCCAGCTCCTTGATCTCGTCCTTGCTCTTGTGGACGTACTCGTGCCACATGATCTTGCCAGAGCACAGGCCCTCCTCGACCTTGGTAAGACGGAGTCGCATCCGGGGTCCGAGCTCAACCATCTTGACGGCCCGACGCTCCACATTCTCCTCTTGTTCCTCGTCCTCGGCGTTGCGGGCAGCCGCCTGCCTGGCCCGTGCTGACAGCACCTTGCGGGGCGCAGAGTCGAGCACTTCGATCTCGGCGTCCGTGTCCATCTCACTCCCGCTTGTCGCATCCGTCATGTACCCGGCGTCGCCCTCGCCCGTCATGTAGTCAGCAATGTCCTCCAGCTTGCCCAGGTTCGGCATCTTGCCCTTGCGACTTGATTTCGTAGACATGAATTGCTCAGCCGCATTGATACGGCGGAGCTGTTTCGAAACACCGGTCGAGCGTGTCGTGATGGCGTAGTGGCGGAAGTTGAGGATAAAGGTGCCGTCGTCGTCCTTGGACTCTTCGCGGTTGAGGAGAAGCACGCGCCGTATCGACTTGAGCGGCGTCTGTTGTGGGTTGATGGGCGGGAAGAGCGATTGAAAAACGGTCGTCGCGAGAGATTCGAGATGTTTCGGGACCTTGGTCTTCGAGTCGGAGTCGGGGCGGATGAAGTTGTTCATGACCAGAAGGGGAGGCGTGAGGAACTCCTTGCCTCCGCCGCGCGGGTGCTTCTGCGCACGTTGGACGTCTTTGCAGAGGGAGTATTTCTCGACGCGAAAGTGCATCGTCGGTCCTCGGGGCGCCAAGGCCATGCGCAAGTTGGTGTTGCCCGAGTCTGATCGTGAAAAGAGCATCATGTGGGTGACGCCCAGTGGCCCGCACATGACGGCGTAGTCTTTCAGCTTGTTCGCCCTCCTCTCCTTCAAGCGACTTGCCGTGCCGGGCTCCATGACCTTGCGCACGTCCGTTGCCAATTGGCTGATGCTCGATCCGACCTCGCCGGCGCCAATGCGAATGACCATGGATTTGGGGTCGCGGGCCGAAGCATGGCCGGGGGCATCGACTTCAAGGTTGTTCGCACCGACGTGCGTTCTCTTCTTTGTGCGTTTGCGTGCCATTGTGATGGGTTGTATTGGAGGATGGTGGTGATGATGAACAGTCCTGACCTTGGCTACAGAAAAAAAATCGAGGTGAGGTAGCTGATAAGGACTGGATTTGGCGATAAGCGACCCCACCAAAATTTTCTGGCTGATCAGCTTGAGTCTGGGACTTCAAGGCTCAAGCCCAACCTTCTTCGAACGACACTATCTTCCTTCTCTAAACAAACTCATTATGAGCGACCTCAAACGAAGGAAAATCGCCCATGGCGCTCGCGTAGGCGGCGGCCGCGTCGGCAAGCAGCCAGTCGAAGATGACGTCTCTTCCTCTGCTTCCTCCGACGCCGAATCCGAGACAGTCGATGCGCCGTCGAACGAAGAAGCCACAGAAGAGCTGCCAAAGACATTCAAGGAACTCGGCATCGTCGACGCCCTCTGCGAAGCCTGCGAGGCCCTCAACTACAAGCACCCGACGCCAATCCAGGCAAAATCAATCCCAATTGCCCTCCAGGACCGTGACATTATCGGTCTCGCCGAGACAGGTAGCGGAAAGACGGCTGCGTTCGCCTTGCCCATCCTGCAAGCACTCCTCGATAAGCCACAACCTCTGTTCGGACTGGTGCTCGCCCCTACCCGAGAGCTTGCTACACAAATCGGCCAGTCCTTCGAAGCACTGGGCTCTCTCATCTCGCTGCGATGCGCCGTCATTGTTGGCGGTCTGGACATGGTGCCCCAATCGATCGCGCTGAGCAAGAAGCCCCATGTCATTGTTGCCACGCCCGGACGTCTCGTCGACCATCTCGAGAAGACAAAGGGCTTCTCGCTGCGGACACTCAAGTACCTTGTCATGGACGAGGCTGATCGTCTGCTGGACATGGACTTTGGTCCCAGCATCGACAAGATCCTCAAGTTTGTCCCTCGCGAACGACGCACATTTCTCTTCTCGGCGACAATGAGCTCCAAGGTCGAGTCGCTGCAGCGTGCCTCCCTCCGCGATCCGGCTCGTGTGAGCATCAGCTCAAACAAGTACCAGACTGTGTCGACGCTGCTGCAGCACTACGTCTTCATCCCGCACATGCGAAAGGATACGTATCTGGTCTATCTGATGAACGAGTTTGCCGGAAAGTCAGCCATCGTCTTCACAAGGACCGTGTGGGAGACACAGCGCATCGCCATCCTCCTGCGAACGCTTGGCTTCGGCGCGATTCCCCTGCACGGTCAGCTCTCTCAGTCTGCTCGTCTCGGCGCCCTCAACAAATTTCGGGCCGGCACACGTTCCATCCTTGTCGCCACGGACGTTGCGGCACGTGGTCTCGACATTCCATCCGTAGACGTGGTCATGAACTTGGATCTGCCCCAGGATTCAAAGACCTATGTCCACCGCGTCGGTCGTACAGCCCGTGCAGGAAAGTCTGGTGTTGCCGTCAGCATCGTGACGCAGTATGATTTGGAGATCTATCAGCGCATCGAGGCCGCTCTGGGCCAGAAGCTGTCCGAGTACCCAAGTGTCAAGGAGGAGGTCATGGCGTTCCAGCCGCGTGTGGAGGAGGCGCAGAGGCACGCGAGGACGGAGATGAGGGAGATTTCGGAGAGGGCTGTGAAGAAGAAGGGTGGCACGATGCGCGCTCAGAGGAGAGGGAGGAGGGACAATATGGATGCCGAGGAGGGTTGACCCAGGATTTGATAGTTAATAACTGGCTCCTTAATATTAAGACACTGCCACGCTAAGCACACAAGAAATATTTAGCAACTGTCCATATATCCTCGTGTCGTGCTTGTACACAAGGTCAATACTCGCCTTTGCAGTTGACCCAAACTAAAGTAACACATGACTACAAAATGTATGTCTGGAGCGTAATCCCAACGCCCTGCTAAAAACATTCATCACATCTCCATGCCTAGGCACCCACGCCAATCTCTTCATCCTCCTCCGTCTCCTCCTGATTCTCAGGCGCCGTCTCCATGCCGGCCATTTCCGTATCGCCGTCGTCAATATGCGTCTCCTCCATCCCTTCTTCTTCTTCTTCCTCCTCCGCCTCTTCCGCCTCTTCCGCCTCTTCTGCCTCCTCAGCTTGGTCCTCATCACCCTCGCTTTCACTATCCGCTTCTTCGCCACTAGACTCCTCCCTGGGCACCAGCAGCCCGGGTGGCATCTCTTCATCCGACTGTTCCGGAGCGTCGCTTAGATCACTCTCGTCATCGCCATCGTTTTCCTCATCGTGACCGTCCGCGTCCATATCCATCCCTTCGGCAGCTTCTCTGCGTACTTGGGCATCAGGCCCATCACTGTCGTCGCTCATCGCAGCCAAGGGCGTGCGGCTGCCTCTCTTACTTGACGTACTGCCCACCCGGCTCTTCACAGAGCCCGCCTTGGGCTCGAGAGAGCGTTGCACTGCCAGCTCGGCCCTGCGTAGGATGTCAGGCCTGCGGACGCCCGTCTTCCTCGCTCGGGACGGGCCCTCGGGCTTCTCAGAGTCATTGAGTGTCGGGCTCGTGCCGCGGGAGTCTTGTGCCTCCGTACTCACAAGACTCTGCACAGCGGGGTGCACGAGCTTGGCGTCACCGGCCTTTCTCTCCTCGACAATCTTTGCAGGGTCGTCCGCGAACTCGCCTCGGATCTCCGTGTGGATTTTGGAATAGCAATCGCTGATGAGGTCGTCAATCGGACCGGCTTTGATCAGGCCGCCGTTGGTCTTCTTCAGCTCAATGGCATCCTTCATACAAAAGAAGGTGGCTGTGTGCGGGCCATCGCCTGCCGCCCAGTTGGTTATGCGCTCGGTGACCAGGTCGAATTCGTCCATGGACATGGACTTGAAGGCTTCTTCGGCGCCCTCTGGCATGTTGTACACCTTGCGAAGCAGTTTCACAAACTGCGCACAGCACCATTGCCATAAATCGGTAAAATGGTAAAAGTCGGCCGCCTTCTTCCGGATCCTCTTCAGGAGCTGTTCCATATTGACGCGGTCCGACAGGATGACGAGGATGTTGGTGACGAAATGCATGTACCTCTCTGTGTAGACGTGATGCCGCCCTGGTCGCTCCGAGTCGCACTTCCACACATTCATCACCATGGTTTTGGTCAGCATGCTCTCGCAGAGAATGTGGAAGGCCGCTTTGGCTGCGGACGACACGTCCTCATGGTTCGCGAGCTTCTCGTCAAACAATATGGTCGCATGGCGCATGATGAAGCGGTGCTGCCAGTTGGACTTGTCCTTGTCGCGAAGCTTGATCATATTGCTAATGATGTATTCCTCCCAATGCTTCGGCTCGGTAAATGCTGCAAAGCCATCGTCGTCACGGATAGGCACACCAAATGGCTGCTCGGACAGGATCTTGGCGGCTTCCTTGGCAGGGAGGTCGCCTCGCTTGACCATTTTATGCAGCACAGAGGCTATCTTGTAGTGAGGTTCCAGGATGGGCTCTGCGCGGCGCGACTTGCGCGCGTTGTGTGCCGTTTCCACGGCGTGTTTGAGGTTCATCACCACTGTCATGGCCGTGAGGCCCAACTTCCTGTCTTCCGCGGAGAGCTTCTCTGGATCGACCTGCAGCATCTTCCAGTGGCATTTCCCTAGCATGTAGTGGTTCTTCCAATTCTGCGGCTGCCTCTCCCTGGCCATTCGGAAAAGCCGCGATGCGTATTTCCAGACTTTGAACGGACTCATCTCGGCATGCACGGGCAGTTTGAAGGTGCCGTTGCCCGTGCTTTCGATAAAGTACCGCTCCAGCTCACTATGCTGGAACGCTTCCATGGCGAAGGGGTCGCGGCTGGATGCGTACATGCGCATGCCGAAGCGATAGTACAGGTCGTGCAACGGATCGCCCTCGTACGCCGTGGTGTCGACATTGTGCGAGTGCGAGAGGGCCAGCGTGTAGCAGTGGATCGCGTGTCGCTGGAACTTGACGAGCTCCGCGCGGTCCTTGTTGATCTTTTCTGCCGTCCACAAGACAGCCTCGTCCAATTCGTAGTCGAAACACTCGGCCAAGCGGAACCATGTATCCCACCTGTTAGGCGTGAACTGTAGTTGGGATCGCAGATTGGCGGCACCCACGCGCAGGTCGTCTGTCGCGCCTGGTGTTTGACGCCGATTGAGGTCGACGCCCTTGAATTTTGTCAAGGCAATCATGCCCAGCAGGTGAAACCAGCCGTGCTTCGCGAGAATGGCATCACCTCGCAGGGGGATAGTGACCGCATCCAAATCGACGCTGCCATGCATGGCACGGTACAGACGCAGGGGGTGAATCGGGCGCTTCATGTAGTCGTTGAAATTGCGCAGGTTGTGCATCATCTGGCTCGTCGACTTCATCGGTCCCAAGGTCTGCTGCATGTGGTCAATCGTCGTTTTGAGATCCGATTTGAGCAGGTCTTTCATCGCCATGCGGCTGGCCAACGTCATGACACTGTCGAGCAGCTGCATCGTACGGGGCCTGGTCAATGCTTCAGGAGAACATCCATGATCTTCCGTGATGGAAGCGCCGAGTTTGAGCGCGTACGTATCCCACAAGACTTGCTCCATGTAGTCCTCCCAGTGGTCGAGGTCCTTCATCCGCAGAAGCTCACGACGCATGACGTTGAGGAATATCTTGGCGGATGCTTTGCAGTACTGGCGTGGCCCCATGGCGCTGTGTATGGCCTGGAGGAAGTCTGCGCGATCTTGATCCGGGGCTACAATGGACTCATGCTGCGTCATGGCCTCATTCACAAGCGTATACTGAAGTGTCCACGCCCGGACTTGCATGTCCCTCAGTTTGTTTGTGAATTGCGTAAAGTAGGGGCTCTTTGATGGGGTGGGCGCGATGCCTGCTCTGATCTCGTCGTCGTACAATGCAGCCACGTGAAGCAGGCAGTTGACCTTGGCCAGGGCGCAGATGCTGCTCTTTAGGTGTGCGCCGTCGATAATGTCAAAGACGTCGCGCTCGTTGATAGCCATATTGAGTGCTACCAAGACCTGCTCATCCAGGGATTTGAGCGTTCTCAGAAGGAGCAGGCGTCGCGACTCTTCTGAGTTGTTGGCATACGCCTCGCTTTCGAGATCGCCCATGATCATCTCAATGCTTCTCAGGTGACACGAGAATTTTTTCGTTCTGTAGTCGATCGCCTCGTACGCATATCCAAGTTGTAGCCACAGGAAGAGCCTCAGCTCAGTGCTACTGTTTGTGAGGAATTTCCACAGATCGCGCAGTCCCTGACCAGCACAATCCGCGATGGACTCTGCTTCGCCCTCGGGCTTGTCCGTGGCGACCAACACTGTAGACGGGTTCAGAACAGGCTCCAGTGTCTCGATGACATGAACAGGGTTCTCCATCTCGTCTTGGAAGAGGCCTAGGAAGAAGTCCATGGTGGTCAGCTTGGAGATCTCCCGGTCAGCGGCGGCTGCCGAGACGAGCGGCATGACCAAGTTGTTGGGTAAAGTGATCTGCTGGACGTCATTATCATGCAGAAAGTCCCGCAGTGAGGTCCAGATGAGCAGCATATGCTCGCGCACGGGCTCGTCCGCGTGGGAAGCAGACATGACACAGGCCCACATGAAGCGGACAGCAACAGAGTCATCGCTGGGGGGGTTGATGAGCTGGACGTATGCCGATGCAACGTCGAGCCATCGTGCGAGACGGTCCTTTGTCTCGGCCCTCGTCGCATAGTCCACGACGCTGTTGGGGTTTGTGATGCGTTCGTAAATATCCACGTGTAGTTCGAACAGCATAGGAACCAGGGTCTCGAGGTCTTCCATCTCACCGTCTCTGATCTTTTGGTCAATGCGATGGTACAGGGCTTCGTGGGAGCGAGTGAGAATCTGGACCACAGTCGTCTTCAGCTCATCGGACCACTTCTCCGATGTGTACGTTTTGCTAATGGCCAAGATCCATTCGTAGGCCAGATCTCCGCCACACAGGCTCTCGCGACGCTTGTCGAGGTCATCGACAAACGCCTTGACACCCTTATGGTCGTCGAATGATGCAAGATCCAATTGGTCTTGAGCGCCGGACTTGGCATGCTCCAAGAACGAGGACAGGCTAAGCGAGGTTTTCTCTTCGCTGTTTAGTAAGATCATGGCCGTGTTTTCGGAGAAGTTGGTCAAGACATTTCGGAAGTCTTGGGACGCTCGAGATGTGAAGGCTGCCGTGCGGTCTTCCAGCGTGGTAGAATCCTGCAGCTGTTGAAATCGTGCCAGCGTCGGCTCGCCTTCCAAAGCAAGATTCTCCAGAATGTTCCTGGTCACTTGGAAAAGTCTGGCATCGACGTCCTGGTAGACCTGCAGCTTCCCTGATACATCATTACTGAGCTCGCCTTGCTCAATGGTTTCTCGTCGGCGCATCCGTTTACTGCGTTTCTCTCGCAATGTGCTCTCGTCGGCTGGCTCGGCTAACCCAGCGACCGATTGTGATCGCTTGCGAGTGAGAGGGGTGTCGGTTTCAGCAGGCTTGTCGTCTGCTGGCTTTTGGTGCTCAACTGCGTCCACCATGCCACCCTCTTTGTCTCCAGGCGAAGTATTGGCGTCCTGCTTGGTTTCCTCCGGCTCTTCTGTGACTGCCTTGTCCGGCTCCATGTTGACATCCGGCCGTGACTCCTCCTCTGCTGCTTCGCAAATTATATGCAGTGGGTGGGCGTCTCGCCCATGTGCCAACAGCTCTGTTCCTAGTTGCGACCAGGTCGACACTTTGATCTCCTCCACCGCGTCCTGGACTTCTCTCACTGGGCTCGCAGGTGGCGTAAGTGTCTGGGTCGGGTCTGGCAGGAACGATATCGGATCCAATAGTTTCTTCATAAGTACCGGCAGCTGATTTTCTATCCACGGCGCCATGACGGGGTGTGTGAGGGCCATGTGGTCACCTAGCAAGCTCAATTGCTGCTTCAACTGCTCGCCCGTCAAGGCCTCCGCTATCGATGGCGGCTCGACCTTTGTGACCGCAGGGTCGTCGTCCATCTCAACCGCAGCCTCTAGGCAGAATCTCTTTAAGCGTCCGCTGTTGACGGCAGCTGCAAAACGAGATGCGCGCCTCCATAGCTCCGGGTCCGATGGATCCTGATCCAAGGCTTTGGCCCAATTCTCCAACACCTTGTCGCCGCCATCCGCATGGTACGACAACTTGGGTTTCTTCTGCCATTCCGGGTCCGAGGTCCGCAAGTCCTTAAGCTTGTCGAGGAAAAAGTCCCCGTAATTTTTGTAGCCCAGGTACAGCGTCAGAGCCAGCGTCGCTGCGATGCCATCTGCGCCGCCCGCATCAATGTCGAGGCCCTCTGAGAAGGCTGCGAGGGCCAGGACATCATCTTCTCCATTGGCATGTCGCTCGGCTCGCTCGTACTCGGTTCGCGCTTCGCGGTATTGGAATATTTCGGATTGAAAAAGTTCATCGTACGCTGTGCCAGCCGCATCTCTGGAGCGAGCGCCTTGCGCATGCAGTCTTAATGCCTTTTGGAACTTCTTGAGAGCCTCGTCGACATGGAGCTCCTTGGTGCTGTCGATCTGCTCGTCGACATTTTCCTCAGGCTCGAGGTTGATTGCCTGGAAGCCGGGCTGCAGCAATTAGCCATGATTTGAAGTCTGGTTGATAAGAGCTTGCATACCATTCTCACGTTGTTGGATCAACGCATTGGGAAATGTGCCGATTCAGTCATTGATTCCATGAAATCCGACCCGATGATGCGCGCGACGACTGAAGACGCGACTGCCCCAACGCAACCTCTTTAGCGGCCCGAGTGTCGCGACCAGCTCTAGAGGTACATAGCCACTCCTGGCACGGGCCTCCATGGCTGTGGCGCACCCTGGCATTCAGCCACCAACAATGTGACCCACTTTAGGTACTTTGTCCAGGCTCCCCCGTCCTCAATCAGGGACACAATCAACATACCCAATAGCTCCAACGGACCAACATATCAGCTTCAGCCCCAGCAGCGGCAAAGCGTGCGGAGCTCAACGAACCACGGTTCCTCACCTCTCTCTATTGTATCCCCCTCTCCGCAACAGCTAGCCGCCATCACGAGCAGCTAGCTTCAAGAGCTCCCTCGCCATGGTTGCGCCAGCCGTGCCAGAGTGAGACCACTTGCGCCCCTGCACCGTCCATCGCTAATGAATCAAGGCTCACAGAGGAGATTCTGCACGAATCGCTCGATGCGCGAACCGAGTCGCTAGCCGCTCTCCGGGAGCTTGGTCCCCCCGACCTGGTACACCTCGTCAAGCAGGCCGCGCGGAATCAGGGGCGACAAACGGGCATCTACCACCATGTGACGGGTGTCGATGCCTCGTCCTCGGCCAGTCTCGCGGCCTACATCAACACATTGACCTACAAGGAACATGCGCCGAATGCGACGGCCAAAATCGTGGAGGGCGTGTACTGCTGCTACAACGCCTTCTCCCGGTTGGACATGCGGATACACGTCACCATCCCCGGCACAGTCGAGAGCTTCTGCGTTGACGAGCGGGGCGAGAAGAGGAAGGCAACAGACGATCTGTGGCTCGAGACGTATCTCTGTAGTGTGCTGAGGGCGTACTCCTACGCCGACGATGGCAGCGGTGACACGATCCGCAAGATTATGGGTGTGCGCAGGTTCAACCCTGTCACGAACACGGAGACGGAGCACAGGTTCTTGCATGCAGCTGAGCAGCTGTTCTTCAGGGGGTGGCAGTTGGGGTCAGACTCGGTCGTTCAGGTGCCGACCAATGTCTCGAATCACTTGACGGCTGGAATCCTGAAGTATCTGCAGACGACGGGTCGGTACACCTCCGGCATCAATCTGTTTGAAAAGCTGCGCTCACAGAGTGTTGAGGTGTCGTCACTCCTGTCCAAAGTGCTGTTCATGGGCAACGAGGAGGTGATGGGCGTCCGGACCCTCTACCAGTCGTTGCAGGACACCCCCATGGACTACGTCATGCTCGACACGCAGGCCGAGTTCTTGCTCAACAAGGCACAGACAGCGGCGACACCCGAGCTGAAAGACGAGCGACTGCAAATGGCTCTCCGCTGCGCAGACCGCAGCACGATTGCGGCGCCTAGCGAATTCGGCACGTGGGCTCGTCTGGCACAGGTCTACGTGGCGATGGAGGACTGGGAGAACGCGTTGACGATTCTCAACTCGTGCCCCATGTTCACCTACCAGGACAAGGATACGCCCGTGATGCCCGAACCGAAGGAGGTGCACCTGCCCACGCTGCCGGAGACGCGCCTCGATGAGATTGACAGCGAGCCCGAATCGAGATACTCCGAGCAGGTCGATCCCAGTCTGCTTGGCCTGCGGGCAGCGTCGTATAAGGGAACCTTTAAGCAGGCGTACAGCATCCTGACGGAGATGACGGCCAAGATCGGTTGGGACCAGCTTCTCAAGATCAGGAGCAATGTGTTTGTCATGGAGGACGAGTACCGGACTGAGAAGCAAGAGGCAACGGCGACGGCTAACAAGCGCAACTCCAGTGTAGACGGCATTCGCGAGCCCTCTGACGCAACCGCTAATGGTGACGAAGAGTCAGAGGAGGAGAAGGAGGAGGACGCCGAGTCGACTGCGCGCACACTGGCGCCCAACGACCCCAGCGAAGACGTGGAGAAGCCGCTCAGCACAATCGACCCAGGAGAGGTCAAGGCGGACACGGATAATGTAAGTCCCCCCTCGTGCACATATGTGTATCTGCTGACTGGATAGGCTGCCAACGACGAGCACCTGTCGAAACTCAACACCAAGCGCCTCTGTGAGCGCTGGCTGGACAGCCTGTTCATGGTGCTCTACGAAGACTTGCGCGTCTACACCATATGGCGCACACAGATGGCACAGTACCGGGCCCAGCAAATGCAGTATAAAAAGTCTGCTGAAGAGTGGGAGATTCTGGGGTCTCTTGCCGAGCGATTACAGCACCGCGATGAGGCTGTCGAGGCGTACCGAGCATGCCTGTCTCTGCGCTTCAGCCCGCGCGCCCTTGCCGGGATCCTTAGGAGCTATCGAAAGCAAAAGGTGACGCGCGACACGATCCAGGCCGTGATCCGTCTGGTGGCCTGGCAGTATCGGTGGTACAGCGAGTTCAGCCCGGAGCTACTGCACACGGTGCGGACACTGATCGAGGATGAGGGAGCTGTCAAGGTCAGGAGCATTGTGCAGGCGACCAGTCTGCCGCAGAGTGTGCTGGATCTCACACATCACTACGCGGCGCTCTGTGCGACATTTCGGAGCAGTGGGACAGACGGTTAGGGCTTTTTGAGGTTGTCAACCTGTAGGCGTGCCCTTCAAAGCAAAGCAGATGAGAATCATAAGATAGAGAGAAACATCAAAGTGAATTGTGGTTCTGGTGCAGGGATCTCTCGGCCCCGCGCGGGGCACTCCAGTTGCATCACAGCTTCAGCGCGTCCAAATTTTTGACCATCTCCCATCCATCATCACCACCACCCACAACCACAGACCATGGCCACATCAAGCGAAGAAGCGCCACTCGATCCCGCCGCTGCGCCGCCGGTGATTGTGTGCGTGGGAATGGCGGGCTCGGGCAAGACGACATTCATGCGCCGAGTCAACTCGTACCTCCACTCGAAGCAGAAGCCGCCCTATGTGATCAACCTGGACCCGGCCGTGCTCAATGTTCCCTTTGATTCGAACATTGATATCCGCGACTCTGTCAACTACGAGGAGGTTATGAAGCAGTACAACCTGGGGCCGAACGGGGGGATCCTGACGTCGCTGAACCTGTTTGCGACAAAGGTCGATCAGATTGTCAATCTGCTGGAGAAGCGAGCCAAACCGCAGGAGGACAAGGCGCCGATTGAAAATATTCTGGTTGACACACCAGGCCAAATTGAGGTCTTTGTGTGGTCAGCGTCCGGGACGATTCTGCTCGAGTCCCTCGCTTCGAGCTTTCCGACCGTGATTGCCTACATTATCGACACGCCACGTACGACCTCGACAAGCACGTTCATGTCCAACATGCTGTACGCCTGCTCCATTCTCTACAAGACAAAACTACCAATGGTGCTCGTCTTCAACAAAACGGATGTCAAGGATGCGGCTTTTGCAAAGGAGTGGATGACGGACTTTGAGGCCTTCCAGGATGCGCTGCAGCGTGATCAAGAGGGCGACGACATGGACGGCGAGGGGGGCGGCAGCGGCGGCGGCGGTGGCTACATGGGCAGCCTGCTCAACTCGATGAGTCTCATGCTGGAGGAGTTCTACGCGCATCTGAGCGTGGTGGGCGTGAGCTCCAAGGTGGGGACAGGTATGGACGAGTTCTTTGAGGCCGTGGCGGAGAAGAAGCAGGAGTTCATCGACGACTACCTACCCGAGCTGCAGCGACGGAGGGACGAGCGTGAGAAGCTGAAGAAGGAGACGCGCGAGAAGGAGCTGGACAAGATGATGCAGGGCATGTCCGGCCTGGGGGGCCCATCGATCACCAACGCCAAGGCGGATGACGACGTCGAGGTGGCGAGCGACGACGACGGCGAGGACTACGACTCGGAGGACGATGCCATTGCCGAGCGGGACAGTCTACAGGCACGATACCAGACGGCCGTGGGGGACAATGACGACTCGGTCATGGCGGATGCGAGCTTCGCAAAGTACCTGCACACGCCGCGATCTTGATGAGAGGCAAAGGCAGAGGCAGAAATGGGCGTTTGGGGCGTAAATGGGTATATGTCAATTCATGTAGGACAGCCGCACAGGCGTAATTCGCATTTCCGTCCGACCAAACTCCCAGACTCCGTATTATGCTGTCTCTGTGTCTACCGCGCCTCAAACTGGACCATGCTGCTCCTCGTTAGTCATCTACGCTGTGCTTAGAGGGCCGGTACCGGACGTACCGTTTCGTGCGCTCCTTGTAGAGGACACGGCCCATGCACTGGTTGCAAGCGACGGCGGCATCCTTGGCCAGCGCGACGCGACTGCCACAGTCGCCGCAGAGGTATGTTATCTGGGTGCGGACCTCGTGGCCGGTGTGCGTCGAGCCGCGGGGACCGGAGCCGGCGGTGGGGGGCTGGTATCCTTCGCGAACCATGGTGACGGCGTTTTGGGGCGTTGGGGTGATGGATTATATTGTCCTTGTCACCGCGAAGGTTTGACAGACAAAAAATGAGGGCGGTCAAAGTGGGGCTGGAGGAGAGATGGCAGAAAGAAGTCTGTAGCGGGAAGGCGGTGGGCTGCTATCTGCCCGCCCACCTGAGACAGCTCACCGGCGTCGAGGAAACAGTTCGGTTGACAGCATTGCTTTGCATCAATCGTGCGACTATTGAAATACACCCAGTGCGGAATTTCCATCCAGTATTGCTCTCAGACTCGGACTCGGGCCGTGTAGCGCGCTTCACGATGCCCTACGTTGACCATATTGGCAGAGAAAGCGAGCAGAGACTGCCATCACTGGTCCAGGCTTACGACGCTGTGATTGATTTCTACAAAAAGAAGCTTTTCCAGGGCACCCCTTTGCCGCAAACTGCCGGGCGCCTCATCGCCTAAATGAATGACAAGAAAATGATCTGGGCCGAGGCCCTTCTTCCTGGGCTTCATCCTGCTTGCAGTCGGCCAAAGACGTCAGTGATACGTTCTCCGTTCTCTGCCTCCCGGACACCTTCTCTGAGTCTGTCGCTCTGCAGACCAGTCCTGGACGAGGCACCACGAGGCACCCTTGGCCCTTGGATGCTCGGCACGGTATGCATGCAGACTGCAGATACCTCGGGCATCTCGACGTGGTCGAGCATCGAGAAGAGCCACGACACTTGTTGGCTTGGCAGGCAGCTGGCGGCTACTAATACATGCATACCAGAGCAGCCGCTAGAGGCAGCCAGTCTGGCAAAAAAAACGAATCCGATCCCCGGATCAGCAAGAAGCCGCCGCCCAGACATTTCGGCACCTCATCCGATGGCATTTGCAGCGCAAGCGGGGCAGCGATGTACAGTAGCTAATTAATCGCCTACGCAGCGTCGTAGCAGCGACCAGCACAGGCAATTGCCGGGCATCGCATGTTCCGACGGTGTCCTATCGCAGACAAACAGGCGCCTCTGCTGAGGACGGACGGACGGCGCGCTACGTCCTCTCCCTGCGTCGAAATTGCAGGAAGACCAAACTCTCGGGTCGATCGCCCAGGCTCACCTTGTCCGGTCGCGTCCACGTCGATTCCTGATGCCACTGTTGGCTCGCGCGTCCTGTTGGCTGTTGGTCGCTGCTAACGGCCGAGTCGGCCGCGCGGGCATAAGGGTTGTGCCTGGCGGCGACCGACGGCTCAAACACCGACTACCCCATGCACTATCACCGACAGCGACGGGCCTGTGGCGTGGGTGATGTGACACTCGACAACCGGCGGCCTACGCTTTGCACTTTGTGTGTTTCGGGTGCCGAGCGACTGGAGAATGGAGGAGGACGATGAAAACAGTTCCTCCGTCTCCCAAATGTCGGTAACAGCATTGCATTGCCATGTAGCCTCACATCGCAGACGCAACTTCGGCCCTAACGGGTCCGCCGTCCGGGGCGCCCTGGAGATCGTCATTTGGGTCCGGCTCTGACCTGAGTCCCATTATGCACTCCGTAAGGTGAAGACAGGCACTGTCCGCAGGATAAGTAGTCAGCGTGCCCTCTGCCAGGACACATAGGTCCGACACCCTCCTCACGTACCGGAATTGCTTCACGTATTACGCATGTACACGCGATCTACAGGCACTTTGTTACCCTGTCCCGGACGCAAGGTACTCGATCTGGTCAGGCCGGGGTCTGATCTCGGCGCCCTTCAATCCACCCGCCGCCTTCCTCCACAGGTGGAGGCAAGCCTCCCATACACCAAGTGCCCTTGGGCCTTAGCTGCCTCCAGCCCACCCGCCCGCGCCGTCGTGCCGTGCCCGTATTTAAATACCATGGGGCATCCCCCGGAGTCTAGGCCTGCCGAGCATCTTTCCAGGTCATCAAAGTCCGACAAGTGTGAGTTCGAGACGTCCAACCTGATCCGTCCCTATCACAGAGACTGACTATTGGCGACAGCATCACAGAAGAAGCCCAGATCCGCAAAACGGCTGAACAAGACGTCACGGCCAGCCCTCCGGCGCAACACCTCTTCCAAGAAACGGATCGACCCACGGGTTCTCTCAACACCAATCCCCACGCCAGACACACGCGACCACGACAGCACCATGCCGAGCAACAACGGGACCGTCCCTCGCTACGAGTCTAGCCCCAGCGACAGCGTGCACACAACCAGCTCGTCGTCACACCAGTCCACCGGGTCCACAGCCTCCAGCGCCGGGCGATCACACGACAACTGCCACTTTGCCGCCTCCCCTGAGCTGCAGATGGTGGACAGCCTGCTTGCCATGCTCACACAGAACGGCGCGCGGCGGCCGAATGGCCAGTCTTCGCAGAGGTAGACTGGCTAGACGGACAGGCAGGCGCAGTGAGTCACGATGTAACGAATATTTTTGGTCTTTGCTCGTCGCGCATTTTCGAATCATCTGTGGGAAACCAACCGGCGTCGGTGGGCACAATCATTCCACTGGCGGCAGCAGCAGCAGCAGCAGCAGCGCAGAGCAGTCGAGCTGTCAATGTCAACATGAACTAATCATGCCTTTACACGCGTGCGTACGTATTGTTGATACTCCTCCGCACATTCAGTATTGTCAACCTTCACGGCTTAGACGCCCAGCATTGGGGGCCGAAGGAGCGGCGGATCGGCCATAAAGCGGGACACTCCGACGCATGCCCACCCAGCCGGGACCCTACCATTTCCAATCGTGCATGAGCATGCTCTAGCTACTGTTGGTACATTGTGGGCAAGTCTGCAAGACGAGCTGAGCTGAGCTGTCGCAGCTGCAGGTCGGTCGTGCGCATGCAGAGTGTATCGCGTGCATATACGTACGTACGTATCGCACGGTTCACCAGACCAAGATGCACTGCGGCTGAGTGCGTATGTGTGCCGGCCGGTGACGCGTGGACCGCAACGGAGCTGATTTCCAGAAGGGGGCCTTGTAGGTGCTTTGCATCGTGATGCTGCTATTGATGCGTGGTACGTATGTACATATACTTGGACCCGTGTGGTTCGCAGCCAGCGGCACGGAAGAATCATGGGCATTTGATTGCGTATCTGAAGATAAGCCGCTTCCGGTAACTATCGGGCTTCTGGAAGCTTATTGTCTAAGTTTTGAGTTATTCGTATCATCTTGGCATACGTATTGCGCAATGCCGCCGTTGCCATCGGATTATGGAATTTCGACACGATTTGCTGTACTCGATCAGATCCACAGTCTGTTGACACGTTCCCCACTCGACAACTTCATGGCCTAATGATTGTTTTGTCGGTGTGGCTGGGCCCTTGGCCCAATGTCTACGTATAACCAACAGGTATGGAAGCCACGCTGACGTTGTTGGCCCTTGAGCTTGGGAGGCACATGTGATGTTTACCAACCCGCTAAACCATACAATCCGATTCGTTCTGATCTACCTCTTGCATGATTAGCTGAATGTGAACACACCACAAGACACTCTGGAGCCAACAACATGAACAACCCGCCGCCAAGCCGAAGCTCCAGTCAGTAGTCACTTAGAACAAGTTTGCAAACCAACCGTCTTTTCGCGAGCGATAGTGAGCAGCGTTGCAGAAAACACTGGCTGGCGTCCGACGACGTGTCGCCCGTCTCAAACCTGCATGTCGGCGTTACGGGCGGGCTTTGCTCGTTGGTCGCACTCCGTACAGTGGTTCTACTCTCCTCTCCTCCACCGCAACTTTTCGGCCATCGAGTTGATGTTCCTGTCAGTACATGTGCTTGTAGATCGTCCGACTATCACACCTATGCGACGGCCGTAGTACCCACGGGCGTACTTGCATACGGCGGTCGCCGACTACAGCGCGGCAGTGTCAGCACGGCATGTGATACCCACTGCGCGCCCTACATCCCGGACTGGGACTGCATGGTTCTGGTCTGTTGTCGTTGCTGCTCAGGGGGCCAGAGGAAACAATGAGTCAACATGCTGCCAGGAGTTGGCACTCCTCTGTGGTTGGCCCGAGACATATCCAATGATGTGATGGCACTCATTGCTGGCGCCCGATCACCGATCGACGGTGAGTGCTCATTGACACTATCATTCTACCACAACCGTCCAGATACATGTCTCTTGTCTCTACAGGTGTCGCCGATCAGATCTCTTCCCCAACACCGCAAAGCCAAGGCTAAAACAAATAATGACTCTTGCCAGCAGCATATCGTCCAAGCCAAGGGTACGAAACCCGACCCCTCAGTATGTTTTTGGATCTCCCTGACGCCCATTCACATGGCCAAAGCCAGACATTGAGCGAGAAATCGCGGTTGCGGCTGCGGCTGGATCCCCCGTCTGGTGGTGACTACTACCATCTCCAACCTCCATGTGCGTTGGCCAACTGACCGCATGGCCAGTGTAGTAGCTGACGCTCGCGCGTGCGTCACTGCTATAGCGTATGGTCGCCTCATGCCCAGGCGCTGGGTACTCCAGGTCCCTCTCACCAGAGGTCAGAGCGTCTCTAGCTACCCCCCGAAGAAAGTCACGAGCTACGTCCGAATGGGAGAACAGGACGCGCGGGCCATCGAGCAGCCCTCTACCCTCCATCGAAGCAAGGGTCGCCTTGCCCGTGAGCGTGAGCTGCCCATTCTCGCCAGCCATTAAATCGTCTGTGTCCATGGCTTCTGAGGATATGGGACTACGCATATCTCGGTACGATCCCAGCGCGCTGTGCGCTGCCGCGACTTGACTCTCATCGCAGCTATCAGGTGGTTCAATCTTCGCCTCCATCGTCGGGAAGAAGGGACTATCCTGCCTGCTCCTGGAGCGGTCTGCTGTCGGTGATTCGCCCCGCGTGTCTGCCGCCGCGGCTGGTTGGATGTTCTCTTTACATTCCAATACCCTGGTTCTGATTGTCTGGTCATTGGCGTTTGCATCTGATGTCTGTTCCTCGCCATGCACAGCGTCCGGGCTGTCTCGGTCCTGGCCGTGGGCATCTTCCACAGCATTCATTCCCCTTCTCGTATGCTCGTCAACTGGACCATCATCTAAATCTCCTTCGTTCCTCGGTAGAACGTGAGAGGATGGGGCGTTGCTGGTCTCATGCATTCCCCCGCTCTCCTCTTGCCCGAGATTCTTTCGTCGGCGCAATTCTGCGAGAACAGCACTGCGGTTCGCGACGGATTGCAAAGATGGATCGGTCTTGTCGAGTTCCATGAGACTGTTTGCCGGAATCCAAGCTCGCGTCCATTTATTCACATTGCTATTGTTGATGACGACCACAGGATGTTGCCGCCCCTGGATCTTGGGCCCATGATCCTCGTAGTCCTTGGCCCACGCAAATCCGCCATCTGTCTTTCTTCTGTAGCAAACCGGGGGCTCGCTTTCCATTTCCTTCGCGAGATCTTCCGTCTGTGCCTGCAGCTCGGCAATGCCGGTGCCTTCGACACTGGGCGGAAGTGGCAAGCAAATTGCCGCTCTGAAGTTCTGACCTATCCAGGCAAGATAGACTTCACCAGGTTTGGGGTCGAGCACGGCTTGCGAGGCAGTACCAGCTCTCCGCTGCATCGGCTCCTTCGCGCACGCTTTAGGAAAAAATTCAGCCTCCTCGTCGTCGTCGCCCGACAGAGTAGTGCGGCGTCTGCCCTTGTGCGGAAGGTGAGGCTCTCGATCTTCTTGACCAGCGTCCACGGCGCGGTTATTCGCCTCTACTAGCTCCGGTGTGCAGTTGAGCACCTTGTAGCCCAAGTGTGCGAGGGCCGTTCTATTCGACTTATCCATGAACCCATGGCTGTCGGAGTGTAGGTGCTTACCCGCGCCGGCGAGTGGGTTCTGGGTGTTGAAGCTCAACTTGTGTGTCTTGCACCACACGATCCACCAGTTTTCCTCGTCGCCATTGACCCGGAAGATTCTGTGTCTGCTCTTGGCGTTCTGGAAGAATGTGTGGATGTCGATTGAACGTTCTTCGAGCCTGGGGGCTTTTCGAGGAGTGTCCTTTGCTCGAGACCGGCGACGTTTCTAGGATACACTTTAGCCTGGGTCGAGCATTCTGGGTGCTCTCGTTACCTTTTGGCGTCCGGAAGACGATGGGAGCGAGAGGGGAGAGACTTCTTCTGTTTGCCTGGACGCAGAGTCCGGCACACCTCTGTCCTCGCCATGATCTACAGGGCCAGATTCATCGCTAGTTCTATCATCGTATGGCGTTGGCTCGGGAAGGTGGATGTCTTCTGCATCGATTTCATCGAACAGGGCCAGCTCTCTCCTTTCCATGTCGCGCACGCACTTGAGTTTCTCCTCCTGCTGCAGCAGCAACGCCTCAATGATAGGTTGCGCCTGCTGGAAAAACTTCTTGAATGACGAGCCGCTGGACGCGTTGCATGGCTCAAGTTGCTTCTTCATATCCACATCCAGCTGGGCAATGTCAGCTTCGAGCTGCGATCTGGTCGCGACATGGCTTTCGAGCTTGGGCTTGATCGCGTCGTGCCTTTCGATGCGCGCGTTGATGCTGGCGCGCTCTACCCTGAGTCTGACAAGCTCCTGGTCTAGGCGCTCAATCTCACTCTCGACTCGATCTCTTTCGGCGCAGTCTTTTCTCTCCTGCAGGCGCACTCTTTCGAGCAATTTATCGAAGCGACTCCTGGTCGCCATGTTGATACGGGACATGCGGCTGCAGTTGATCAAGAAGTGACGGATTGAGGGAATGGAAGGTTAAAGACAATATGAGGTGAAAGTCAGTGCAGCCAACACATCTAATGTTCCGCTGGCTGCGTCTCCTTCCTCCGGCTGCTGCCCCACCACAAGCCACGGCGGCGGGCAGCTGGCAAGGCTCTGGCCCCTGAAACCCCAATCCTGAAGTACGGATACCTATTGTTGCTTGCAGTCAATCTCAACCTCCAGCCTCCAGATACCATGCTGTTGGTGCTTGTGCTGCTTGATGGTGAAAGTCATCCGCAACATGCATGTACCCATAGGACTTGCAGATGTTTGACTACGATATATAGAACAGGCTGTCTAGCTAGGTTTGAACAACAACTTTGTCGGTTACTCACATCGTATGTCCATTCCAATATTTGCGAGGACCAAGCCCATGTTTTGCTCCATGATGCTGCGCATCTTGTTTGCTCAGGGTGTGCTGTCATGCTGTGCGCGGCGACGGGGTCACTTTATTGCGAGGAAGCGAACGACATTTTGCCTGCTGCGTCTCTAAATAATCGTCATTCACCGAGCGTTGCATATTACGCATTGGCCCCTACATGTACCTTGAGTCTCGCCAGCTCGACCTGGTAGTACACATGCAATCGTATTTGCTGATTTGACAACGGGTCGCAATCTGCGGCACACGCTGGCGTGTACAAAAAGACTGCAGAAAACAACAGTGTATAATAATTCAAGCGCATTTTTCTATTATAATGGCGATTTTAATCACCAACTGCCAACGACAGGTACTGGTAGTGTCTCGACTCTCGAGAATGATGGCTTACACCTCGTGATAATTAAATGATCCTATGTTTTGGTAAAGAACGCTTTCGCAATACATTAGAAAATTTAATCTGATATCTATTATCATTGCGTGAGAATAGCCATTGCAAACCAGCCGAAATCCATCCTCGCTTTCATTCTAAAGCCCCCGTAAACGCCCACAATGACCCGCCAACCTCGGCTCATCTGGCATCTTTTCCATCACCTTCGCAGCAGCACGTCAAACCTGCGATTTCCCTCGCACCAGTTGATTGCAATCCTAACCATGACCACCGACCTTCCCTGCCCCTTCTGCAACATTGCAGACATTCACAAACCCTACGACGCAGCGCATCCCCCGGCCTCAATCGACCCCGAAAAGACCAGCCCGCCCTCGTTCCTCCTGCTCTCGACACCGACGCTGATCGCCTTCCTCGACATCCTGCCGCTGTCGCGCGGCCATCTCCTCGTCTCACCGCGCGAGCACCGCCCCAAGCTAAGCGACACATCACCACTCGAGGCGCGACGTCTCGGCGCCGCGGTGCGCGTCCTCTCGAAAGCTGTGTCGCGCGCCACAGGGGTAGACGACTGGAACGTCGTACAGAACAATGGCGCGGCAGCTGCCCAGGTCGTCCCCCACGTACACTACCACATCATCCCGCGACCCGAGCTCCGTGCGCAGGGCAAGTTGAGAGAGAGCTTCACCATGTTTGGTCGCGGCACGAGGGAAGAATTGGACGATGACGAGGCGGTCGTCCTCGCGTCCGATATTCGCCAGAGGGTAGCCGAGATTATAGAGGAGGAAGGAAAAGACCTTTTAGACGACTTTGAGCTCGAGTCCAAGTTATGAGGACAGCATAATAAAGGAGGGCGGAAATCTTTTGTCACTTTGTTTTTCTTTCTATTCTCTATTCTATTTCTCCATAGAGCCAGCGACATTGCACCTCCTCTGCCCATTAGTTTACTCGTCGTCTCCGAAGAAGACCTTCACAGGCAGCCACCCGTCGTCGCAAACCTTGAAACGGTCAGGAATCGAGTCAATGGCCTTGACCTCGTCGTCCGTCAGACCCCAGCCGTCGAGCTGCCAGTTGGCCTCGACGCGCTTGGGCGTGACACTCTTGGGGATCACACTCCAGCCCTTGCTGAGGCCCCACATGAGGAGGACCTGCTGCGGCGTCTTGCCCTTGGCCTCGGCGATGCCTAGGATCTTGTCGTTTGTGTACAGGGGCGAGTCGAGTGACCCGAGGCACGAGTAGCCCGTCGAGTGGATGCCCTTGGACGTGTTGTAGGCGACCAGCTTGGGCGACGGGTTCGAGGGATGCAGCTCAATCTGGTTGACCGCGGGGACAACCTTGGTGTCCGGGCTGGCGAGCAACTTCTCCATGTTGGTAATGGCAAAGTTGGAGACGCCAATGTTGCGCACCTTGCCAGTGCCCACGAGCTTCTGCATCTCGCGCCACGTGTCTCGAAAGTCCCAGTCCGCGTAGTGCTTGGACTTGTCGTCGGAGTCCGTCGAGCAGGGCCAGTGCATGAGAAAGAGGTCGAGATAATCCGTCTGGAGCGCTTCAAGGCTGGCGCTGAGGCCCTCGACGACGTGCTTGTGCCATGGGTTGTCGAGCTTGGTCGTCAGCCAAATCTCTGAGCGCGGGACGCCCGAGGCCTTGATGCCGTCGCCGACCTCGCGCTCGTTGCCGTAGGCATGGGCAGTGTCGATGTGGCGGTAGCCCGCGCGGAGGGCAGCTTCGACAGCCGTTGCCACCTCGTTGGGCTTGGCCCTCCAGGTCCCCAGGCCAACAGCGGGGATCTTGTCGCCGGTGTTGAGCGTAAAGGTGCGCCTGCGTTGTTGTTAGCCCAAATTGCTGCATAGATAGCATAGTGGGTGCTCACGTTGTCTGCTTAGTTTCGGCCATGATGTTCTGCTAGTATAGTGATTGGTTTTGGATAGACGAACACAGAGGTTGGAGCTCGCGGAATACTTATACTGTTGCGGGTTCCTGGAGCGTTAGCGCTGGAGAGCCCCTCCCCCTCATGACGCTGCTGCGGGATGCCAAGACCGGTTCGATCATCGAACAGTCCGGGGGCAACGCTCCGGTATCGCGTATAGGCAATGGGCGAGATAGCAGCAAGGCAAAATGCTCGCCCGCCTGAGCGGCAGTCAAACTGATTCACCCAGCACTTTTTTCTGGCAGGCCAACGAGCGCCTGTGATGGCGCGGTGGATGATTACACGCAAGTGGCGACAAAGGCCATATAGGCTGAAGAAATGCTCCAAAGAGCTCCAATCCTAGCTTGGTCGGCAGCAGCACTAATTATATGTAGCTCACATCGTGGGGCGATCCTCTTCGGCGAAAGATTACTACGTTCAGCGAGGCCTAATCCGATGGCTGAGATTCCGTGGCGTTTATTGGGCAGTGTTAAATGAAAAGACGTAGCTCGCTATCTATCTTTTTACAGATCACTCGGCGTCACCAGCCGCCGCCTTCTCCTCGGACTGCGTCTCAGCAGGCGCAGGCTTGTCGGCGGTCTCCTTGGCCGCCTCGTCCTTAGTGTCCTTGACAGCCTCGTCGTCCTTGTCGTCGGCTTTGTCGTCAGCCTCGGCTTCAGCATCCTCTTCCTCCTCCTCGTCGCCTTCGGCCTCGGCGTCGCCCTCTGTGGTCTCGTCGGTGGTTTTGCGCTTCTTGGCCGGGGGCTCAGCTGTCATGGGGTCAGTACGAGTTGACGTGGACAGGTCGGGACCCTGGTTACTCTGTTCGCCATTGGCTTCATTCTCTTCGCCCTCGGCTTCCTCGTCGCCCTCCTCAAGCTCCTCCTCCTCGTCGCCATCTTCCTCGGAGACGTCTTCCTCGTCGCCACTGGAGATGTACCTGGAGACGGGTCAGCACGGTCTCGCAAACCCCGATGCGACGCATTGGAAGATGCAGCGAGTCGCAGCGCAAGCCAATGCGCCCAATTGAGAGGGAAATCCACTTACTCTTCTTCCTCCTCAGCATCGTCGTCCTCAGGGAGGGAGACGAGCTCCTCCTCTTCCTCGGGGCGGCCGCGCTTCGACATGATGACGTATGTGGTAGGAGATGAAAGGCAATTGGGGTGTCGTGAGGATATTTCGCAGCTCTCCGCGAGATCTTGTACAGACGAAACGGACGCAATGGGGTGATGCAAAGTTCAATGGGCGTGAGAAGGGGAGAGGAAGAAGGGGAAGAAGTGAGAGAAGCTGGGGGCACTGAGTGGGCTACCAGGCTGCGCGGACCTGGCGGGCTAAAGGGGAGGTACCTCGCATTGTATGCGATCAAGGCTGGCGTGCCACGTACCGTCACTGCTGCTGGCGCGACCGAGGGAGGGAGAGACAGGACGGAAGCAGAGCTTGCGTGAGGGGAGCAGGCTGGTAGCTTGGACTGTGTGCGCCGCGCTTGACACTGTCCTTTGTGTGCCTTTCAGCACAGTGTCCCCAAGCTCGAGCCCCTTGACGAGGGGGGCGCGAAAGGGGTGTGTGTCGCAAGGCGCAGGTTCCTACGTTGCCCAATAGCGCAGCGCAACACCGCATTCAGAGCTGGCGCACTCACCCCTCGGCGCTGCTCTAACAGCTGGGGCAAGCTGCACATGGTGATACTATGACGTCATGGCTACGATAGCCAAAAGCACGTGATCTAGCTCAAGCAGCCAGCTACCAGCGGGGCGCCACGGTCCGGCTGAGGAGGCTGGAAGACGCTTTCAGCGTCATTGACCAATTCACTGAGAAAAGAATGACTTTGCCAAGAAAAACACGCGTGCAAAATCTCTAGTCGTCACGGGCAGCCTGGCCTCGAACGGGTGATGCCCAAAGTCCCATCACGTGCGGGTCATTTCGCTGGCGTGCATCTGGCATTTCCTCTTTGGGTACCAGAGCAGCCCGCGATTCGCCGCCAGGACTCGGGGACAGAGAGGGACCGGAGATCACTCTGTTCTTCCATTGACACTTGCATTGAGACGAACTCAGGCGCCTTCTTAAGCTCTGCTTGTCCGCTCGGCCCAGACCTTGCTCTTTCCATATCGTCATCAACGCCAACGCCCATCTTCTCTTTACCGCTTGTAACGCCAGCCCCTGTCTACGCCGGAGTGCTCCGTCCAACCCTCCTGCTCGTCCAGCTTCTTATTGAGCTCCCTGGCGCCGAGTCCAAGTTCAGTCCCCGGCTCGAGGTCCGTAAAGACCCTGGGGCACATACAGGGGACGGGTCCGGGAGCTTCTGGGCGTCGCGTTGGATCGGAGCAATGTCACCACGATCCTGGCACTCCTGCTCATGACAAACTCGCCGTTTGCCCTCGGCAATGAGAAGAGCGCGGCCTGGCTGTATGCGGGCCTGGCGTTCTGCATGCTCATCGATCTTGGTCACCACGTCGACCTCACCGGTACGCCGCACTTCTCCAACGAGGACCTCTAGGTACGAAGGCGCGTCTTCTGGGCCGCCTTTGTCGTCGACAAGATCCAGACGCTCTACCAAGGGCGGCCGTCGACCCTCAAGGAGAGCGATGCGCTGGTGCCCATCAAGTGCCTCGACTCGTACTAAGAGCTCGAGCACTGGCAGCCCTTTGGCTACTCATCGTCCACGACGCACTACCCTGGGTCGCCGGCCTACAGCAACTCGACGTTTGCCGGTCTGTGTAGGATCTCCTTGATCATGAGCGAGATCCTCAACAGCATCTACATGGAGCGGAGCTCGGATCAGACGCCCAGGGAACTTTCGACCATGCTCGAGGTACTACAGCTCCGACTCGACAACTGGCGGCGAGAGTTACCATCGCATCTGCAGCTCGACCCGGGACGACAGTCGCAAGGATGGAGTATCCCCCGCCCCACGTCTTCAGTCTCAAGTGAGTTGCCTTTGCATCTTGTTTCTTGCCTTTATAGCTGACATGCTATCAAGTGCCATGTTTGACGTGCTCATCATCCTGCTGCATCGACCCTTTGTAGCCGACGGCCACCTGTACAGCACGTCCCGCTCCATCTCCGTCGACTCCTTCATGAAGTGCGCGTCCGCCGCCTCGACCATTTGCAGCCTCGTCCGGGCCTACCACCAGGCCTTCTCGACACGGAGGGCGCCCTACCTCATCTCCTACGCTACCTACGTCGCCGCGACAATCCACTCACGCATTTCCGCCCGCCGAGGGAACAACTCGTCCGCGCACGCGAACCTGGCGACGTGCCTCGACGTCTTTGAGCAGAACTAAGCGGCCAACTCGGCGGTCAACAAGGCGTCGCTGATCATAGAGAATCTCATGAAGAAACTAGGCGTCACGCTGACCCCCTCAGGCGATGCGCTGCGCCATATGGCCATGGACTCTGCGGTCACGGCCACGGGAGCAGAGCAGCAGGCTGAGCCCGTGTTGGATGCGCCAGCGGGTAGCTTGCACGGCAATGCCAGCAGCAACCTGGACGCGTTACCCCCAGCCACAGCTCTGGGGGATCACTTGGCCAACGAACCTGACTGGCTGGACATTGACAACATCATCCAGAGCTTCCTCCACGGACGTGAAGGAGCCCATGCGCCCCCTGGTTTCGAGCCAGACACGGCGTGGCTGCCAGCTCCATCTCTGCACAACATGGCTGGCGCACCGTCGACGACGGCGGCGATGTATCCTCCATCGACTGAGAGCAGCGGCTACTTCCATCCCCAGGATGAGAGCGGTAGCAGCGATGGGTTTGTGCACGACCCTTTGTTTGGCTTCAATGGGTCGACGACAGACTCGTATCACTATGCGTCGTGGTGAAGCCAGCTATACCAAAGAAGTGAAAGGATATTGCGACTCAAAGGAGCTCAAAATCCGAGTGGTATCTCCTCAAAATCACCCTCGCAATTGTTGGTGGTCCTCCCATTCGTCTCCACACCCATTCCCGCGGCCCATGTCCAGCGGTGCAAGATGAAGATGGCTTCCCATCTCTTCCCAATTGGCACACTTCGGTTTATAAATGACATGGGCCTGTCCGGGGCCACGCCAGCAGAGCTGACGATGATCATATCCATGTCATGTTGGGACGTCTGGGGTCGCGTGTGTTCTCACAACGTCTTGCTCACCACGTATTATCATCAGAGCAGACACTAGCCTTTTCAGCTACAACGCATATTCCTACAAAGCCGCTCTATACTTCCCAGCAGCAGCCTGTGCCAAAGATTTACTGGCCCATCACACGCAACACAACGGCTGTCAAGACCACACCTCGCAGTCGATGCGCCTTGCCCTGCGTCCTCATGCGCGCGGGGACATCCAAGGGCATGTTCATCCACCGCAAGGACCTCCCAGATAACCCGGCCCGACTCGTTGGCTAAGAAGACATCAGATATCCGCGTGCAGGCTTACTCGATGGGTCTGCCGCATCCAAGCCTGCAGCCGACGGGTGCCGTGTGTCTGGCGTCGGCGCTGTGCTCGCCAGGCACAACCGTCGCGGAACTCGCGGGCCAGGCAGTACTTTGTGATGGTGATGGTGATGCCCTGCTCAGTCCTAAGAGGACGCCGTCGCCGCCTGTACCGGGCGCGCATGAGCGCAGCGTCATCATTGCGCACAGCAAGGGCACCATTCAAGTCGGCGTCCAGCTGGATGAGGCTGGTGGTGTCAGGGGCTGCACCGTGTCGAGGACGGCGAGGAGGCTGTTTGAGGGTAAAGTGTGATATTATGTAGAAGAGGCGTAGATGAGAATAATCAATGAGTGATACAAGTGGCTTGGCGTCCATAGAGTTACCTTTAGAGGATCTAATAGTTGACATTCAAGTGTGAACTGAACCCAAGTAACCACCAAACAAACGTCACCAGGGTCAGAGACATCTGTACCTAATTTTTCGGAAAGCACACCTTCTTGAGCTCATCCAGGGCACGACTCATGCAACCCGACCAGAACTCGAAATCATGAGCAACTGCATATACAACAAAAATAATTTGCGAGTCCTTTTTCTTCCTGTGCAAGTCTGTACTAGACTTTTCGACGACGAAGTCGGAGGATTATCGCTATCTCCAGGGTAGCACCAGTGCTTGATCCTCTAAGTTAACTTAACGTTAACTAACGTTAGTTAACTTATGAATTGCTGATATCTGCGTACCCTGAGCCACAAGCCACACCATCCACTGAGTCATGACTCAAGCTAGGCTCGCCACAGACGGCACGCTCCGTCGTCCAGCCTAGCTGAGGTCAATCAGGAGAAGTCTCAGGCTGACGCTCCGTGCGTCCAATGAGCGGCCAAGAGCATTCCCCAGGCGCTCTCCTTTCTTCTTCAGATTTGAAGGCGAGACATTTCGGCACAGATTCATCTCGTCTGACTGCCCTGCAGATCTACGTGAAAGACGCAGTTAAAAACGGACGAGATGAGAATCATGAGTTGACCGAGCGAGTGGCAACAGGCCGGGACGGACGGGTCTGCCGCTCGTCTAGCCGCCGCTTGGCAGAAGGATTGGAACGGTGGATGGAGATTACTGAATAAAGTTTGCACTGCGGACGCAGGCATGCGACGCGATTGTCCGTACGCGACGTGATTATTTACCAACACCAACAAGACACGACGGGCGCGCGCACAGGAGGAGTAGGCAAGTAATTAAGGACTAAATAAAAGTTGGAATCGTATACGCGAATGCATAATGCGAGACAATGGACGCGATGTAGGGCCGACGCTAATCGAATACCTACGTACGTTCCAGGCAGTGCCAGCGCAGAGAATGCATCTCGAAGCCACGCGGAGATCATGGAAACGGGCATGCCATCGGAGATTGACGAGGGCACTGGTGGTTTGTAGGGGAACTAGTCTAGGGAGATGAGCGTTCCCACGTTGCTGGGACCCGGATGACAGACGTGGGGAACAGACACCCATGCCTGGTCTTTCGGACGGCATGCTGTCAGGTTTTGTCATTTGCGTCTTTGACAATCTACGGAAATGAGCGGCGCCAGGGGACAGTGCGCCTAGTTGTAAGCACGCCTGAGCCTGCCATCATTGCCATGCGACGAATGTCCGGGGTCTGGATCCTCCTCCGGCTGGCCTCCCGTGAGGCTGTTTGATTGGGTTTGATGAGCGTTTGCTTGCATTGACTCGAGGACCGCAGGCGGATTCGCGCATGGTCCTGGTGACGTTGCGAGCATATCATCTGGGGCTGCTGACAATTACCGTGCTCCAGCAATCGACCGATCAATGGCGAGTTTGTTGACGCGATCAGGCATATCCTTGTTTGGCAGCGGGAGGAGAAGGGCTACGTAATTCATAAGGAGGACATTCTCCAAGCAGCAGCAACGTCCGCGCGTCTACGTCCATACAGCGGAGAATATAGCGCTGGACAAAGTCGTAGAAGCAAGATACTGACAGACCAGGCTTGAAAAGTTGGTTTTCAGGTCACCAGATAGATAATAATAAAGACGTAAAGTACGTAAACGGTGGTAGAATCTAGGAAGCACTAACAGCCCCCTAGGCCGTGGGCCGCCGGTGCTGCAGGGCGGGTCTAGCGTCAGGCACCAAAAGCGCGCAGGCAGGCAAGCAGTCCAGCATGCGGACATTATGCAGCAATAGTGCAGCAAGCTGCAGGATATGCGGCATAATTAATGCAGGGTGCCACTGCCAGTGAGACTTGCAATGAATCGCTGAACATCGTCGACGGCATCGGACAGGGCAGGAGCTCTCGAGATTCAAGGAAATCGGTCGGTGGCCGACTCTGGTCATTGACTCGAGTTATCACTTATTGCAAATGCAACTCCAACTGCAGCTGCTGCCAGCAACGTCGCGACATCTGGGGGACGCCCGTCCGTGCAAGGATTGTCAAAATTTTCCAGCTTTACCTGCTTCGAGAAGGCGGATGCGATCCGGTGCATTGCATAGACAGAGTGACAAACTGGATGGGTGGATCTGCTCTGAGAAGTCTGAAGTTTGCCTGTCTGTCTGTCTGTCTGTCTGCCAGTCAGCGGCGTGCAGCGCGCTGGGCTGGGCTGACTGGGCCGACTGGGCCCTACCGTCCCGCGGAAATTGCGTGGCAGCGTTAGCAAGCTTTAGCCGGTGGGCTGCCTAACGCAGCTGGCGCTGCTCCAGTTTAGTCCTCTCCGCCCATCGCAAGGGAAGCTTGTGATGGAGAACTGACTGACGGCTGAGCCTCAAGCGATTCGTTTGTTCACTTCATCATTCATTCATTCAACGCTCCTCGGCTCTATGCGTGCGTGCGTGCGTGCGTCTCGCCTCGGATTGGATCTGACGACACACACTCCTCCACCATCATCCGACCACAACGTCGTCACCACCTCACCTGGAACCTGACCATTGCCTCGACACTCCTTTTCTTCCCACCCTCCATCTATCACGACGACGACATCCCGTGAGCCGAGACCGCCCACCAGGAAAGCGTGCACCGAGCACACCACACCATCGCTCGTTCAACACCTCACCATTGTCTGTCTCTCCCGGTCGCACGACACGACTGGCCCACGGGGCAGTTCAGCGCCACCAATCGACGGCCACTTCGACGACTAGTCACACCGCATACGCGAGCTTCGACCGTCCAAACCGCCATGACTCCTTAGCGATGCCATGCTTCTGACACAATCGACAACACTCGCTCAGACATCAAAATCCACCGCGAGCTCGAATTCAGGGTACACACTTGTTGAGAGCCGCAACACACAGACAGGCTTGGCTCGAGGGGCGCCACCATGATGCCCATGGCCGTGTCCAACCTCAACATGAACAACCACTGGCATCCGGACGACGGGCGTCATCGAGCCATGACCGCGACCACTCAGCCGTCATATCAGCATCAGCATCAGCATCAGCACCTCCACTACCAGCCCGACCACAACCCATACTACGATCAAACACATGCGTCTCCCCGTGGCATGCCGCCAGCCGTGGCTGCCAGGACCACTCCCGACGCTCTCCCTCCTCCGTTTCACGCCAGCGCGCCTCGCTCCGTGCCCTCGTCATCGCGCTCGGCTCGCCGACCACCGCCAGCGCTGACTTCGCCGCGATGGGACTCACTAGGTGGCGGACAGGGCGCACACATGCTCGCGAGCCCGACCTCACCTCGCTTGCCGCCCTCTCTGCGTTCCCGGCCGACTACACCGGTCACAGCAGCCTACCCCGACGCACATGACTCCTACAGCGGACCCCCCTCGCGGCCTCTGACGGCCAAGACATCCTTCCCGGACATACGGAGTGCCGAACCGGCATCCGCGCCCGATTTGAACTTTTCCCGACCTCGAAAACAGAGTGTGCGGCAGCCTCTGCTGCCAACGCCTTCAGAAGATGGCCCCGAGATGTTCCAAAACCCTCTGCCGAATCCGTGGCGTCCGCGGCGGCCGTCCGTCTCGTCCAACGTTTCCGCGTCCACGTGGGCGCCGGGCATGTCCCCCACGAGCGGCGAGTTCTCTGACGGCCGCGCGCGTATGAGATATGCAGGGCCACCCCCGGTCTCTGCCACACGTCAACATTTCAGCTACGGCAACCGCATTGACAGCACGGGGTCGGCGCCTCCCATGGGTGGGACGGCGCCATGGGTCAGTGGGGATGAGGTTCGGTCGAGTTTCAGATCCCAGCTCACTGCCTCATCCGCCCCTGGCACCGCCAACACGGAGAGGAGCAGCATCATGACCAAGGATAGCTCGGCCACATCCTTTGACGCGAACCACGATCATGAGGAGGATCACGTGCCGGACGCGGACGAGCCCAGCGTGGAAGATGTTATGGGCATGTATGAACAGGGCTTTGACGATGACGACGACGGCGATAACGAGGAGGAGAATCTTGCCGACGGTGATAAGTACAACGGTGCGGCCGCGGATCCTGTGCAGGGGGATCGTGATGATGACACCCAGCTCCAGCTGCGGCAGGCTCGGAGCCGCGACGCGAGTTCGGACCGGGCCGCCACTGATGTGGACGAGCTGTACTTTTCGAAACATTCGACGTCTGATCACAGTGAGCCGTCTCAGCCTCAGCCTCCGCCTTCAGCACCAGCGCCCCCGATCCAGCCCGTGATTATCGAGGAAGACCTTGCGCCGCCAACCCCGGCCCAGATGCAAGCGTCGAAGCTAGACGCGGAGATTCGACAGTCACGCATGTTCTTCAGCTCACCGGCCTTTATGGCTTCCGTATCGCACCTGGCCAACGCGGACGTGCTCGAGGAGGAGAAGCGCGATTCTGGCAAGTCGCTCGAGTCTGACCCATCCGAAGGTCCGCAGCCTATGCTCCGGCGCGATATCCACGCCTCCACAACCACGTCGCCGCACTCCTCGATACTGGCCGCCATGCGGGGCGTCAGCTCATCGCCCGTGTCACCAAGCAGCCCCATCACGCCTCTCAGCCCGGCGCCGACCGCGGTGGAGGAGTCCGTGGAGCCCGAGGCCCCGGGCTCGCGCGACCGCTACGGCTTCAAGAAGGAGACGCAGCACGTCAGCCGCAAACAGTACGATAGGTGGGACCGCAGCTACTCCGAGTACCTGGCGAGGCGGAAGAAGAAGTGGGTGGCGTACCTGAAGGAGAGCTCGCTGATGACGGACGAGCCGAATCGGTTCCCCGGCATGTCGCCCAAGACGAAGAAATTTGTCCGCAAAGGCATCCCGCCCGAATGGCGGGGCGCGGCCTGGTTCTACTACGCGGGCGGGCCCGCCATCCTGGCCAAGTACTCTGGGCTGTACGACAAGATGCTGCAGCTCAAGGCGAAGCGGGTGGACGTGGAGGCCATTGAGCGGGACCTGCACCGGACGTTTCCGGACAATATCAACTTCAAGCCGCCGGGCACGTCGACAACGAACGCGGGCAACGGCAAGATTGCCGAGGACGACACGGTGCAGGCGCAGTCGGACGAGCCGCCCATCATCTCGTCGCTGCGCCGCGTGCTCTTTGCCTTTTCCATCTACAACCCCAACATTGGCTACTGCCAGAGCCTCAACTTTATCGCGGGACTCCTGCTGCTGTTTGTGGACACGGAGGAGCAGTGCTTCTGGCTGCTCAATGTGATCACCAACATCTACCTGCCCGGGACGCATGAGATGAGCCTGGAGGGGTCCAAGGTGGACCTTGGTGTTCTGATGACGGAGATCCGGGACACGATGCCCGCGGTGTGGGACAAGATCAGCGGCGAGCTCGAGGCGCAGCCGAGCACCAAGTCGCGGCCGTCGACGGGCCGCTCGATGCGACGGCCCAACTTTCGCCGGCGCGACCATGCGAGTCTCTCGACGGAGCGGCTGCCGCCCATCACAATGTGCATGACGGCTTGGTTCATGAGCTGCTTCATCGGGACGCTGCCGATTGAGACGACGCTGCGGGTGTGGGACGTGTTCTTCTTGGAGGGGTCCAAGACGCTGTTTCGGACGGCGCTGGCCATTTTCAAGACGGGCGAGTCCGAGGTGCTCGGGGTGACGGACCCGATGGAGATGTTTGGCGTGGTGCAGTCGATGCCGCGCAAGATGCTGGACGCTAACGCGCTGATGGACGCCTGCTTCAAGCGGCGCAACGGGTTCAACCACCTCAGCCAGGGGGCGATTGAGGAGCGACGCCAGGAGCGGCGCGACAAGACGGCGTCGGACAAGAAGGGAGGAGGAGGGGGGTCGCGCACGGTCAGCGGGACGACGACGGACAATGAGGATGGCGCGCGACGCGTGGGCACGCTGTTTCGGCGGAAGAAGAGGGACGCATCGAGGCCGCGGGGCGGCGAAGCATAGGGCGCGGCGCGACAGCAGGCGGGAGGAGGAGGATGCTTTTGCTAGGCGTTCCGGGCGGTCATGAGTTTGACAGGCTTCTTTTTCATTCTCTTTGTTTTGGTTTTTTTCCCTTTTGGCAGCGCACAGGGCACTGGCCTTTCTCGACAGGAGGAGGCCCTATTTACGAATCACGGATGCATGGCCACAGTACCAGTGGGGGGTGAATTGTATATCTTTTGTTTGCACTTTATACCTTGGGTAGACGAGACGAGAGGAAGGTGGGGATAAAAAATCATGGTTCACGTACAAGGACGGATACCTTGGTGTGGTGAAGAATAGAAGCAGAGGTTCATTCCTCATACGATTATATGCATGAATCACCCGCTGAAGTGTCTCGTCTGTCTCTGTACTTGTGTCTTTACATGACGGCCCACCTCTTACACTATGATGCCGAAGCGGGAAACTCGGGCTCGCCCATGGCGTATTTCGCGACGTACGTCTTGGCCTTCTCCTCCCAGGCGGGCCTGTCCCTTCTGTACTCCTCTGCGATGCGCTCCTCGAGGGGGTCGTCGGGCTGGGGCTCGATCATGAGGTTGCGGACGGCGTCGAGGACGGCGCTAATCTTGGTGCTGGGCTTCCAGTTCTCGCTCTTGAGGATACCCAGGCAGACGTTGCCGAGGGAGTCGTCGGTGACGTTGGGGTGGTAGACACGCGTGACGAACTTGAGCGTCGGGGGCTTGAAGGGGTAGTCGGGCGGCAGGGAGAGGACGAGGCCGAACTGGCCAGGGTGCAGGGCGGACTCGGGCGGGGGCCGGTGGATAATGTGCCAGGTGTGCAGGGACTGCGAGGGGGGTAGGCGGATGGTGAAGCCCTCGGGGGGGTTGGCGTCGAGTTCGGCGTGTTCCTGGTGGTGGTGAGTGAGAGAGTGAGTGAGTGAGTGGTGGGTGAGAGGGAGGGAGGTAGGGCGTGGGAGCTATGGAGGGGAAGGACGGGCAACATGGCAGAGGTGTGTGCGAACCTTTGCGAGGCGTTTTGTCGACATGATGGCTGGCTGGCCGGAAAGTGAAGGACTGAGTGTGTTGGATGCTGGTGTGAAGTCGACGGTGATGTGTGGCACGCGTGCAGTGGGTATCAAGGTCGGTCAGTTCAGGTCAGGTCAGGCATCTCACTATGACGATGGTGGGGTCGGATCAGGCGTGGATGGCTCTTGATGAGCAGTCTGCCTTGGTCAATGGACTCTGCGAGCAACAAAAAACAAATAAAGGGGCTGTTTGCTTGATGACTGGCGTTCATGAATGCCTGTCTTGTCTTTCCATCCGGAAACACTGTCGAAGAGATATTCGTCGTCGAATTCATGTTTGCTCCTCAGCAGCACTGCACAGCTCCGTTCACGGAGCCATCTCCATCGTCTCGGTGAGCGGTGAACGGTCAACCCCACCGCCCAGGCCACATCACCCTCACCGAGCCGGCGACTGCTCACCTTACTTTTTTTTTCGCTTTATCGCGGGGCAGAATTTCCACGGCCCGGGACAGCGAGAAAAGTTTCCAGCTGCCATCAACGGCAGTCAATTTGTCTTCTACCAATCCAATCAGACATGGCGCCTCCTGAAGCGCAAATGCCGTTCATCAAGAACTTGGCTTCCTCAGGTGAGCTCATGTCTCCTCACCACGTCCGGCCTCGCATCGCTCGCTGACCCTTTCACAGACCGCAAATTACGAACAGCCTCCCTCGAATCTCTCCAGCTCTTCCTCTCGACCCGCTCCGCTCTCACTGTCGCCGACGCAAGCAAGCTATGGAAGGGCCTCTACTACGCCCACTGGATGTCCGACCGACCGCTCCCACAGCAGCGTCTCGCCAACGAGCTCGCAGCCCTCGCGGACGCGCTCCCCAACGCGGCGTGCCTCGCGCCCTGGTTCGACGGGTTCTGGACGGTGCTGGGCCAGGAGTGGCCCATGATCGACAAGCTGCGCCTCGACAAGTTCCTGCTGCTTGTGAGGCGGGTGTTTGCCGTCCAGCTGCGCTGTGCGAGGAAACACGGGGACGACGTGGAGCGCACGCTCCAGGACTGGCCGTTTGAGGCGAGCGGGGATCTGCGAAAGGTGCCCCTGGGCCTGCGACTGCACATTATGGACATTTGGGTCGACGAGCTCGAGCGGGCTGAGTTGCTCGCGCCCGAACACGGGGAGTTTGTGGCACGGATCGGTGTCATGGTGGAGGGCCTCAAGCACTGCCCTATCAAGCAGGTCCGTGAGCGGGCGAGGGAGTCGCACGACGACCCGCGGCTACCGTGGGGCGTGGAGAAGGAGGTGGACGAGGACGAGGACGAGGAATGGGGCGGTCTCGATGATTAGTAGGGAGGGGTGGCTGGCGTCTGGCGTTGGGATGGTCGCAAGCTACGGTTGTCGACCTTTTCGGAGCATTGAACTCTACGTTTCGACATTCGTGCCCTGGCTAGATGTGCACGCTTGACGTGCGCAGGGACTGATTACTACGACTTTCCGCTGTCACTCATTCTTAGGAGTGAACAGTTCAGCATGCCAAATTTCCGCACGCAGTCACTCATTCGCTATGGAACGATCACGCCAACATCAAATCATAATGGCACATTCGTGCGTCAATTCATCGCTAATGCCGTCTCAAACGCCGAAAATTCAACTACCCAGGTCCCAGACTATGCCCCCTACCACGCCAATTCACCCTGCGGAAAGAACTCGTCAATCAGGCCCATGTAGTAGGGCTTGAGGTCCTCGACGCGGGGCACATCGTCGCTTTTGCTGTACAGGTCGTAGGGGTTGAAGGCCTGGACGGCCTTGAGCATGGCGTGGTCCTTGTCGGACATGAGCTCGCGGTAGGCGCCCTCGCGGTGCCAGGGGTAGAAGGAGTGGTAGCGGATCATGGCAAGGGCGTCGTCGGGGAGGGTGCTCTGGTCCTTGACGACGTGGTAGAGGTACTCGTCGTGGCCCCAGCTGAGCATGACGTTGTCGAGCCCGCAGCCTTCGTGGTAGATGCCGAGCGGGGAGGCGTAGACGGGGTCCCGGGTGTCCGGGTTGGCGGCAAAGGTGTCCGGGTAGATAATGCGCGGGTCAAAAGCGAGGCCGACGGGGAAGGTGTCGCCGACCACGTCCCACTGGCCCTGGGTGCCGAGCTCGGGGAAGAAGAGCATGAGCTTGCCGAGGTCGTGGATGAGGCCGGTGACCTGCATCCAGCGCGGCTTACCGTCGCGGCGGATGGCCTCGGCGCTCTGGAGGAGGTGCTCGATCTGGCTGAGGCTCGTGTCCGGGTCGCTCTCGTCGACGAGCGTGTCGAGCTTCTCCATGGCCTGCCAGATGGTCATGCGCGGCCGCGGCCGGCTCGCCGAGTAGAAGCGCGCCCGCGCCGCCAGGTTGTACGCCACCGTCTGCTTGGCGTGCTGCTCCCGGTAGAAGTTGCGCACCCGGTCGCAGGCGTCCTCGTACTGCCGGAACGTGGCCTTGTCCTTGGTCGCGTCAAACTTGGACTGCGTGTCGTACTTGATTGAGTTGACGTCGTCAATGGCGTCCGAGATGGACTCGAGGTGCTGGCCGAGCGTGTGGTCGTCGGCCACGTCGGCGAGGGCTGTGGGTGCCATGCTGGTGGGTATATGTGTATGCTTCAAGGTCTTCTGGGAGGTGATGGAGAAAGGGTATCGATGTTGTTTATGAGCTTATATCAAGTATATTCGTAGCGATGAGAGTGATAGACATGAGTCTGATGTTCAGAGACTTGAGTCTTCTTTTAACCCATCATGGCCCCCCAACCCCTCTTACCCGTCGTTCATCGTTCTCTATCAAATTCTCCGCAGTTCGAGGCATCTTCAAGTCCATGAGGTATGCGTCGCCGGCGCCAGTGGACGTCACTCCACGCCAAGGATCGTGTGCTGTCGTCGACGGAGAATTGTGTCGTGTCTGAAAGGGGCATCTGGCGCCGGTGGTTGCCATGAGAAGAGTTCGGGTCGTTCTAGCGCGCCAATGGAAAAGAGGTACTGGGGACAGAATTGCCTTTCCTGGAACGATCCACAAGGGTCCTGATGAGCCCTGAGAGCTGATAGTTTGATCGTGGCTTCGCTGACGTTCAACAACTTGAAGAAGACATAAGGTACGTACAACAAAACGACAAGGCCACAGGCTGTCTACTTCTCATCAACAAGGACCGCTCCCAGACCCGAGTTCTTGGTGCGTGGGTTCCCATACGTCTCGCCAGGGCCGTGAACATGAAGTCATCCCACAGCAATTCCAGTCGGCGACGACAACTGCTCCGGTTGAAGGGCCCACTGCACATTGATGATCAATTCTTCACTGTTCAAGTTGAGGGGAGCATCTGCATCAATCTGCATCACCTATCGATAGCAGAAGTTGTGGAACAAAATGTCACGTGAGCGGGCCCATTTAACACGTGATCGCGATACGTACTCGGTCTTCGACTGACCCGCTTTGCGCTGACACGCTTCCACTGACTGCTACAACTATCGAATCTATTGCTGTAGATCTCATCTCGTATCCGGGCTGTTCGGCCGCGCGTCAGTGCAAAGTATAAGTAGCCGGCGGCAGCAAAATGCCGTATTGCTCGGTCCAGAGCTGACGTATTCGAAGGCCGGCCGCTGGACCCTGGAGGGATCTTTTGACAAGGCTAAAAGTAGAAGCGCGACATCTGGACGGGCCCTGGTCTAGGCTCTACTTGTAGACCCCATTGCCGTTCTCTTCAGTGATCTCACAAAGGTACAGACCTCGTTGCATCGGCCAACTTCTCCTTGATGGACGTCTGAAGGACGTCTGATGGACAGGTCGCCCATTCTCACGCAGCACAGCGTGCCGCGACTGCGTCCTCGCCCGACCTCGACGCCCACTGACATGTCTGCTCCAGCCCCCGTGTCAGGAAGCCAGTCTAGGCCCTGGCTAGCCCGGGAGGGACTGGAGGAGGCCGCCTTGCGGAAATGACCAGGCATTCATAGTCATTGGCCGGCTCGTTGCATTTCGTTCTTTGTTGACCACTACGTACATAGAGTCATCTGCAAGTAGGACGTTTCAGTTGCTCATCATAGCCAGTACCTGCGGCGAGCTCGGGCTGACAAGAGGCATCACTGTCAAGCAGAGGCTATGATACGTTTCTCTCTAGCAGCCGCGGTGTGTGTCACCGTGGAGTGAGTCCCCCAAAGAACGACGATCCGCAATTTCGATCCGGATGGGAAGTGCCGCGCGTGCGTATTAGCGATGCTGCCCCGAGCGCAGGGCCCAGGCTTCTATTGGAGGCGCCCGAACCAACACGAGCTGACGGCTCACCGCGGGCGCCCGAGATCCGGACTCCGGAGAGGCCTCAGCTGGCCGTTGGCAGACAGGTGAGGAACATGAAAAAGGGCTGGCTCATCCACCTCAGGTCCCTGGCCAGGCTGGTCTCACCCGCCACAGCGGCCAGACCAGGATAACATGGCGCGGCGGATCTTTGTGATAGTATGCGCACTCTGGCTGGCCATGTTCACAGTCGCCCGGCCAGTGACGACCACCGGCTACGATGAACTCACAAACACACTATTCACTGACGCGGGATCGCCGTCCTTGCTTGACATGCTCTGGAAGGCACCGCACTACATCAAATCAAGCCTGCAGACGCCGTCGACATGGTACGCCTCCTCGCGTTTGCAGCCCATCTTCTGGTCCCCTGCTTTGGACACCAACACGCACACCTCTCTCGACGCCGCGTCCAAGTTCCAGGTCATAGACGACGGTCTGGACAAGGTCAAGAGTTATTCCTTGCTGATCATGGTCAGTGGTTCCGCCCCACGCGAGCGAATATTGCCAAGAGAGTCACGGCTGACCGACCGGGCGAATGCAGAACATAATCCTCGACTATACACACTGATGCCGCCGCCAAACACACGACTTTCAATGTCAACAGGCTTGGAAACACGACACGGCGACACAGACAGGCCGCTGCAAAGACCAAAGCGCTACAAAATCCAGTAACTACCAACGCCCATAAAAGGGTATAGGAAGTGCATACATGACAAGCAAACGGGCCCAGCTTCACAAAAGACCATTATTAACACAGCCTGTGCCATACCCTCCTGAGCCTGCCCACGCCAGACCTCGTCATCATCATCTTCTTCTTCTTCTTCTCCTTCATCTCCTTCTTCTCGTCACGCCTCACATACCGCAGCACACGCATCAAGCTGGCCACGACCACAGTGTCCTCAACATCCGGCCGCCCGTGCAGCAGGAGCACCCCCTCGCTGTAGTGCTTGGGCAACGCCGCCTCAAAGTGGGCGTGGTGGTACACGGCGACAATGGTGTCGTCGCTCGCAAACATGCCGCCCGGCACGGACGTGTCGACGAGGACGTAGCACAGGCCGCCCAGCTCGACGGGGTGGATCTGCCACTCGAGGGGCCGTGGTCCCCCGGTGAGCGTGAAGTGAGGGTGTGTGCAGAGTCCGGACGCTGTCCTCTTGCTGGGGAGGGGGAAGGTGGGTGGTGGCATGGAATACGTGAGCGTGTCGTGCTGGATTGTGGCGGGGTCGTCGTGCACAGTAGGAGGCATTGACCTGCTCCTCGTCAGCTCTCTATCCTCCGCAAGTGTCATAAAAAGAAAAAATACCTACAGCACCGCCTCCTCACCCATGCCTAGCTTCCTCTCGCTCACGGCGACCCAGCTGCCCTGCGCATCCATGTCCACGAGGAAGCCGACGTCGCCCTGACCAGGTCGCCCCGTCGGTTTCCGCATCAGGCAGAGCTTGGTCTTGAACTCGGTTCCACCGACCTGCGCATCGCGGATGGTGTCATGATATTCGCTGCTAATGTTGTAGAGCGGTAGATGGGTCGTCGTGTCGCGGTGCCACGGCACGTAGACGGCCCTCGTCAGGTGGGCGAGAGCCGAGGGCGCGCGACGTCCGATGCGCGCATCGATGGCCTTGACGTCCACGGGTCGCTCGAGGCCATAGGGGTGGAGCCTGCAGAAGGCTGTGATGCCGAGGGGGATGGCCATGTTGTCTTTGTGATCCTTGCCTGTAGAGTCAATGCGATTGTCGACCATGCTGGCGCTGGGACCTGGGGGGGAGAAGGCTTGGTTTTGTGCTGGTGGTCTTGGTACCTTTTCTCCTCATTTGATGTCTTGGGGGGTGAATCATTCACCCTTCTTGTGCTGTCGTCATCTGGCCAAGACATCCATCTCTCCTTCTCCCCGTCTGCCTCGTCGTCTCAGGGGCGGAACTTCTACAAAGGGCAGAAACCAGCGCTTGTGTTGGTAATAATACTATCTACCGCCTGTCCACTCATCGACGACAGCCGGGATCCATTTGTCCCAAATCGGCAGTGCTGCCAACCGGGATGCCCACTAGGACGTGGAGACGAGAACCCCGGAATCGCTGCATTCGGAAGACCTGTTCATGTCTCGGCTGGTATGTCAGCGTTACCAAGGTTCCACGTTTTGTTTCGCATCATGAACTTACCCCGATTGCCTTTAGAGTTTCATGATGAATACGCGATCATTTGCAGCCTCGAGGTAGCGGCCTGCTGGTGTGGCAGTTGGGCAAAATGTCCAGGGTAGGCTGAGCACACGACGCGAGGACGGGATCAACGCAAGGACGCCAACCCACATAGTCAGACAGCAGCCTTGATCCCACAAGTTAAGAGATTAGAAAAGCATGTTCGTAAAGCTTGAACTACAAATCGCGGGATAAGAACACTTGCTGCTGCGGCAACTTGCGGCACATGAACTGTGTATTGTCGTGTCTGTCTCGCCAATCCGAATTCCCTGCGCCATGCCCAGCCCAGCCCAGCCCAGCAGCCCAGATCTTCCGTCTGCGCCTCAGGCTCCATGAACACAGAGCACGCGCCAAAGCGTAATGATCCTCCCACTTCCCGCAACAAGGGACCAGATCGAGAGATGGCGCTGCTCATCGTAGGGACCAGAAACCGGCAAGGCAGACGCAACAGCACTAGATCCAACAAATAAGAATAAGCTACGTGGGCCTGCCTCCCAAAGAGGTATCATATCGGCCGATGAATTGAGCCCTACCCGTACCAAGGGAGAACAAGGCACAGCCGATGACGCCCGCTTGCCGACACGCCACGGCTCTGGAGCCGCAAAGCCTCCGTCTGGGCATCCCCAGCACTGCAAGACCCAAAGAAGCTAGGCGCGAGGTGACGTGAGGAGCGGTCGCGGCCGGCGAGTGAAGCGTGCGGTGCAGACGTGCAGGATGCACAGGGACGCACGGGGATTGGCATCCAGCCTTGGCCCTCATCCCTGCCTGCGTACGCGAGGGTTGGGTTCAAGTGACGCCATGGAGTTGGGGTCCAGAGGCCATTCATTGTGACATTCCGTACGTATTACGCACCAAGGCTGAACAGCAGAGCCAGGATATAAAAGAATGGCTGCCTCCTTGGCCACCTCTATCAAACAACCACTCAAACACAGACCGACACCTAAAAATGGCCCCCAAGACTCTGACCGGCCTAATGGCCCTCTCGGCCCTCTCCTCCGCCGCCGTGCCCAACCAGCGCCGCGCACAAACAACCCAAGCCCTCCTCCTCCCCGTCGAGGCCCCCGAGGACCAAACCCTCTGGGCCAGTGTCATCACCGCCGACGCCTCGTCGACAGAGTACCTCGTCGCCTGCCAGACAGCCTCTGCCACCCCTGACGCCTGTGACGGGCCCTACACGGGCGTCACACTCACGCAGGGACCCCAGACGATGGACGTGAGCATGGGCGGCAGGACGTATGCCTGTGATATTCGTGAGCAGGACGCCCTCTGCGAGATCACCCAGCAAGACGACGAGGAAGATACCATGGAGACAGAGACCATTGCCAGACACCAGTGGGCTACTGTGGCCGTCGCCGTGGCAGAGCCTACGGAGATTCCCTACCTCGAGATGCGCACGCCCAAGGGGGGTGGTAGGGGAGGCAGCAGCAGCAGCAGCAGCCGGAAGGGCTCGGGCTCGGGCTCGGGCTCGGGCTCGTGGAGGAAGGGCGGCTCCACAGGCAATACCGGCGACGAGGAATGCGACAGCGACGACAGTGACGACAGTGACGACGAGCAGTGTAAGAAGAAAAACAAGGACAATGCGGGTGCCAAGGTCAAGCGCGCCGGCGTGGGCGTTGCCGTGGCGGCCATGGGGTTCGCGGCGTTGATGTAGGGGCAAGGGGACTATGACGATGATGAAGCATGTTTCATGAAAGCGATACCATTTATTTCTGGCCTGTACTATTATTATCATAATCCAAGTTCCACTGTCCTGCCTGAAAGAACCATCCCGATCTGATATGACACGAAGCATGATAAAGGTATCAATCCCAAGCACTACAGGCCGCAAGTAGTCTCCGATATGATGGCTAGTGGTCGACCTGCATGGCCTCCTCCCCCAGGGGCGTCGCGACAAGCCACGAGAGCGCCAGCCTGACGCTCCTCCCCTTCCTCAGCGTCACGAGCCAGTCCACCGCGCCCGTCTTGAGCATCTTGACCTCGGCACGTCCCCACTGGCCCTCGTCCGCCTTCCGGCCCGCCTCGCCCACCTCGGCGACCTCCTCCTGTTTCTGCTGCTGCTTCCCATCATCTTCTTGGTGTTCTGCGCGCAGCTTGTCCGGGTGCAGCACCTCGACGCGGACGCGCTCGTCCTTGGACACGGGCACTTGGTCCTTGACGACGAGGCGGATCGAGTCCGCCGAGTGCGTGTTCTCCACGTACACGCTGCGCATGTAGATCTTCCTCTCCTCATTGTACGACACGCCGCCGCTCCGGCGCACCTCGGGCGTGGCATACACGACGCGCACCGCGTGGTCGACACCCAGACCCAGCCGGAGCTCGGCGCCGTCGCCGGGGCATCGGGGCAGCGTCGTCCGGCCCATGAACCCGCCGTCCAGCGTGACGCCCACGGGACCCTGCAGCAGGATGTTGCGGCTCGTGTTGGCAATCGTCGCCGTCAGGTACGCCGCCGCCTTGAGCTTGGGCACGACCGTGTGCGTGAACTTGATGGCCGACAGGTCGATGGTGCTGATGCGCTGCTTGGCGCTTGTCGAGCTGGGCGCCAGCGTCTTGGGGCCCTGCAGCTCGTACACTGTTGCGAAGCCCGTCTGCTCGATGAGCGAGTTCTGGAAGGCGAGGTTGGGATCCTCCCGGGGCGTCTCGTCCCCACTGGATACGGAGTAGCCTTCCTCCTCCTCCTCGTCCACCTCGGCCCTGAGCGCTCTCTGATAAGACCGCATACCTCCCCGAGCCCGCGTCGTCCTGTCAAACTGATCCGCGTCAAAGGTGTGCTGGGTCAGGTCCTGAGCTTGAGCCTGCTGTGCTTGAGCTTGAGCCTGCTGCTCTTGAGCTTGAGATAGTGCTGAGCGTCTGGCGCCAAACAATCCAGAGCCAGTGGGCGCAGCCTGTTGTTGCATTGACTGCATGCCCCCAAAGAGGCTCTGCTGCTGCATCTGTGGCGGCGCTGGGAACGCTCCCTGGGCCCCAGGATTCTGCTTCTGCCTCGCCAACTCCATCCTCTTCTTGTTCTGCTGCTCCAGGAGCATGAGCTGCATCTGGTAGTCTTGGGTGGCGCGCGGATCGTTGGCCGCGAAACCAAACATGGCTTCCCTGTTTGCTTTGCCCTGTTTGGTCATGGAGGCGCCCATGGTCCTCTTTTGATGCTCCTCGCGCGAGTACAGCAGTGGCACCCCACTGCCGCCTCGCTTGATGGCCCACTCGCGGAGCTCGGGCGCCTTGTCGGCGAGACTGGACGACGTGGCCTGCGAGGTGGACAAGGTGATCTTGCACTTGTCCCAGGTCTCGCTCGTGGCGTTGGTAAGGAGCGCGTCAAAGCAGAGCGTGCCTGTCGCGGACTTCGTGCTGAGCTGCAAGTCGTAGCTGGGCGCCCAGTAGGCGTCGGACGTGACGTACGAGAGCAGCAGGCTGCAGGTCTGCCCGTGCGACGGCAGAGAGGCGCTGACCTCGAGCTGGATGCGCACCGCATAGACGTACTTGGGCCAGAACTTGCTGCGCTCCGTGCGGATGCGTCGCTTCTCCTTGATCCGCTGCTCCTCGGCTCGCGAAGCCTTGAGCTGCTCCTTGACCCGGTTGAGTTTGGAGAGGCGCTTCTGGCGGCGTGCTTGGGCTGTCTGCTTGCGATGGCGCTTGGTCAGGCGGCGTATCTTGGCGTCCATTCTTTTCAGGAGCTCATCTTGGTGGCGCTGGTCGGCTTGCGCGGCGAGGAGACCCCGGTAGTTGTTCTGGCGGAGTCGCTGGTACGCCTCGGATGCCTCCTCGACATTTGTATTGTGCTCGGCACGGACATTGGTGATGTAGCCGTCTAGTGCGCCGTTGTTGTGCTGTAAGCAGGAGATGCGATGAGAGGTGAGCTCCTTGCTGTCCATGATCTGCTGCCTCTCTGCCTTGGCAGCGCGCAGCTCTTCATCCTCCTTGAGATCCTCGTCATCGTCGTTGTCATCCGTGTCGACGTCATCTGAGCCTGACAAGATATCCTCATCCTCGTCGGGGTAGACGTCGTCGAACTGCTCCGTGTTGGCCAGTCTCTCGACGGTGATGTTGGAGATGGTCGCCTCCCCACTGCCTTCGACCTTGATGGAGTGTTCGTCCGTGGTGGGCGAGAGGCCGATGATGGTGACCTCGTTGGTGCCGGGCTGCAGCGGGACGTCTCCGACCTCGCGCGAGATCTGGGCGCGGGCTGGGAAGAGCGTGATGGATGTGGTGGGCAAGGTGCGCAGGTTGTACTCGACGGAGCTCATGGTGTC